ATCTAATTTTGGTCCTTCATATTCAATCCCTTTTCCCTTACATTTATTCTTGACTTTATCACATTTTGTATCCTTACAACTTGATCCATAAAAATAACACTTTTCAAGATATTCTTGGCATTTTTCCATTAATTCATTATCTTTAAGTTCCGTTTCTAAAGACTTACAACTATCTTGATGACTCCCTTTAAGCCCATTACACGTCTTATCTGAATTAAAACATGAAAATATTAATTCATCACTATATTCACTTAATCCTTGACAAATTTCTTTCATTCTTTTTTTACATTCATCTGTATCATTAACTTTCCCTTCAAGAGCTCTAAAAAGAATTTCTTTTGTCACTCCTTGACGTCTCCGTCCATAACATCTATCTCTCAACTTAACGCACTTCTCTTCAAGATTACTTGGATCTGCTTCTTCTAATAATAGACATTTTTCTTCATATTTTCTACATTTTTCATCTGTTAGGTTATTCAATTCTTTTTCAAGTTCTGTTTTAAAAGCATCCAATTCAGTTTTAACTTTATCTTTCAGATCTCCACATTTTTTGTCTATATTTTCACAAAGTCCCTTAACTTTGACATCCACACTCTCCAATTTTCCATCTATTTTCTTCAATTCCTCACAATATTGTTTGAGGTCTGCCTTGCATTTATTATCATTATTATAACCACTTTTCACAATTAAACCCAAAACCTGTTCCTCCTTAATCTCATCATTTCCTGCTGCTTGTCCTGCTGCTTGCCTCTTAACCGGCTGTGCCATCGCCGCCTCTTTCTGGGCGACTTCCTCTACCCATCGCTTGTCCCTGAGTAGCATATGACTGGGTAAATCAAATGTAGATCTTGAAATAATTCTTTCAAAATAACCATACATTTTAATTTTTTATGATAAGCATACATTTCCTTAATCTTTTATGATAAGCTTGGACTTTACCCTATAAAGCAAAATCGCGGGGTAAAATTGCGGGGTAAAATAATCAAAATTTCAGTTCCCAATTCTTCATGCTTTATTAAAAATTTATACATCATTCTTCTATATCTTATATATTATATATAAACAATGGATATATGCACTTTTTCATTCTAATCACTTTTTTCATTCATTTTACAACATTCCCATAACAATCACTCCTAACATTATTTTTATCATTTTTGGTACTCTCATCTTCATTCCTTGACTTGATATCAGTTCTCCTCTCATTTTTGTTTTTCTACTTGAACCTGTTGTACATCTCGGTTTGCATTCTTGCATCGACGTCAATGTCACCGTAGATGTGACTGCAGATGTACTTGTCATCGTACTCGTATGCAACGATGTATCTATCACCGATGTATTTATCGTTCGAATTAATGTACATTGTTCTGTTGCTGCTTCTTTTATTGACGTTGTTACTGTCGTTGTCATTCTCATCGTTCTCGTAGTTATTGATGTCACCGTTATCATCAATGTCGCTGTTGTTGGGCATTGTTGCTGTTCTCGTCGCTGTCGATATCGTCGTTAATATCAGTGTATGATGAGGTATAACTTCTAATGGTTTTACGTTACACAACTTGTCTATGTCTTCACATACTGTCCCAAAGTTCAAGCAATTCTCTCTAAAACCGCAGTTTACTTGCAAAGTTTTACAATCTTCTTTCATTCCTAAATACAATTTCAATGCTCTTGTCATTAGATCAAATGCGTTCGTTTCTGTTTTTGATACCCCTTCATCTACAAATCTTCTCAAAATAAGTCTTTGCTCCGTTGTGTGTTCCGTTCCGCCTTGTGAAGAAGCCGATTCCGCTGCTGTTGGCGGTGCTGTTGACGGTGCCACTGGTGCAAGAACACTATTATTTTGTACACTTAATGTAGCACTTTGTCCATTTTCATTTTTTTTAGGTTTTGACAACAGTAAGTTAGTTACTTTCATAAAATTTTCTGCCTCCTTTTTAACCTTTTCGTATTCATTCTTCTCCTTTAATTCATCTTTTTCTTTATCCAGTTCATTTTTTAAGGCTGAACATTTTCTTTTTACTTTCTCAATTAACTTCTTGCAAACATTTCTCCTAAGATGTTCACTTGAACCATTTTTATCTTCACTTGCACTATCGAATGTTTGATTTTTTTCACTTTTCCATTTAGTGTAATACTTTTCTAATGTTTCTTTACATATAGTATCATTAATTAAACTACTTTTCAATTCATGAATTAACTCTCCCTCCAATCGCAAATTTTCCCATAATGGAGTACAATATCTTTGGAGTTTTAGACAGTGAGCCCTTTTAGTGTTAATGTTTTCTTGTTTCAATATTTCCGGACAATTCTCTATATATTGATGACAATATGGATCCCAAAACATGCAGATTTCTTTAGTCAATGCTTTATTTGTTTTTTCAATTTTATTAATAATATTTCTGTCGTTCATGTTATAAGCTAAATTATAACACTCATCTATAACCTCTTTTACAATAAAATTACATGTTTCTTCTGGTAAAGCACAAAAAGTAACAAATGGATTCTTTTTCCTTCTAGACAATCTTTCACATTCTTCCTTTACCGCTTTTATACAGTTTTCCCTTGTTTTTAATGAATTATCTTTTTTTTCTAAAATATTTTTTTTAAATTTTTTTCTAGTTTCTAAAATATCCACAGTTTGTATTCAATACTGAACATTTATCATCATTCGATTGTGAATAAGTTCTAAGATTATGGCACTTCCACTTTCAGTTTAAAACAATCACTCTCCTTTGGAAATTCTTTTTTTGAATCCAAAAGTGCCTCGAATTCCTTTGATTGATCAATAATATCTTCTAAAAATTCATAACATAGTTTAGTTGGTTGAAGACACTTTAGAAGGTATCTTTTATCTTCCTTAAATTTTATACAATTTTTAACCATTAATCCTTTACATTCTTTAAGTTTTACTTAATACGATTTTAAATAATCAAGACTTATAAATTGATTTCGAATTAATTTATTAAACGCCAGATTTTGTCCTTTTCTATAATACGCTATTCTTAGATTTTCGCATGCTTTATCGATTTTATTAGTACATACATTTTCTAAATAGAAACATTCCGACTCAAGCTTTATACAGTCTTCCTTACTAGGTAATTTTGGTACCTGTTCCCATGAAAAATATTTTGAATCTTTATTTTTTTCAAATTCCGTAGAGAATCCTTTTATGTAAAGTTCTAATTTAAGATTTGTACATCTAGTTTCTACCTTTACTAATTCTTTGCATCTGCTGTCTATATTTTTACTTGCTTCTTTGCATAATGCTTTTAAATTATAATTCATGTATAAAAAATTACAATCATTTAAGATATTTTTGCATATTTCTTGTAGATTTTTGCTATTATTTTCTCTACTCCACAATAATATTGTATTTTCTAGGCTCTTTTCTTGTAGTTTTCCAGTGATAATTTCTTTAACTTCCGCTTTTTCATAAATTTTTTCCAGTATAATTCTATCTAGTGTTGCTTTTATTTCTAATGGATCAAAATCTTATTCTGGATCTTTGTATGTAATTCCTTTTTTTTCGCATTGATTCTTAATTTTATCACATTTTGTACTGCGACAATTTGATTTATAAAAATAACAGTTTTCAAAATATTCTTGACATTTTTCCTTTAATTCATTCTCATTCAATATTCTGTCTAAACGTGTGCAAACATCTTCCACACTGCTTTTGAACTTTTGACATGTAACATTTGGATTAAGGTATGAAAACACAAATTCAAGACCGTATTCAAATAATGCTCTACAAACATGTTTTATCCTTTTTTAACATTCATTCATATCATTATAAAATACCACAAAAGTGTTATAAAAAATGCCATATACAAAATCTTGACGTTTCCTTTTAGAACATTTATTTATCAATTTAACGCAGTTCTCCTTAAGATTAATTGGATCTGCTTCTTCTAAAAATATATACTTATCCTCATATTTTCTACAATTTTCATCTTTTATGTTTTTGAATGCTTCTAAAAGTTCCTTTTTTAGATCTTTTGATTCTTTTTCAACTTTTTTAGTTCTTTTCATTTTTTATTTTCACAAAGTCCTTTAACTTTAGCATCCACATTCTCTAATTTTCCATTTATTTTCTTCAATTCAGCACAATATTCTTCGAGCTTTTTCTTGCATTTGTTTTTATTTTTATATTCCTTTTTCACAATTAAACCCAAAACCTGTTCCTCCTTAATCTCATCATTTCCTTCTGCTTGTCCTGCTGCTTGCCTCTTAACCAGCTGTGCCGTCATCGCCTTTTCTGGGTAATTTCCTCAACCCATTGGTTATCTTGAGGATAGCCTTTAGGAAAAAAAAATTCATAATCATTTTTTCTAAAATAATCAATTTCCGGATAATTTTCAAAGTAATTCATACTAGAATCCTTATTAATTCTACGATTCCAAGTGCCTTTAGAGCCTCTTATCTTTTTCAATCGTAATAATTTTTCATTTTCAAATAACTCTATCACTAAAGTTCTGGAAAAAATAAGTAAATGCTCAAAAAAGAAAAATATGATGTTAGATGAATAAAGTATAGATCTAAATTAAAAAGCAATGAAGTGATAAAAAAATTTCACATAAACAGTTAAAATTAACTAAAATATCATTTTTATTTCACTTTGAATGCTTTTTCAGTTAAATCTTGTTTAAATATTCTTTTTAGAAAAAAAATGAAAATGGGAAAATGAATCACAACTACTTAAATTTTTTAAAAAGCTTACCTTGTTCATTTATGTCTGATATTAAGCAAAGGAGATGTACTGATAGCGAACAGTAACTTCATCGCAGCGTGATAAAAAGCAACGGGAAATTGATGATTCTTCTGATCCTATGTCTGATCCTATCTATAATTTATCTGTTATATGATTTAACAAAATTAGAAAGATATATAATTAAAAAGTGTAAAAAAAAGTTCGAAATTTCAAAGCTAGACAAATTTTAATCTCAATGATAGTTAAACTTTAAGATTTAAAAAATAATATTATAATATACAATGATATGATAAAAATATAGAATAGAAAAACTTATTGTATTTAAATAATTTAACTGTTTTCTTAAAATTTAGTTTTTTTACCCTATAAACATTAAAACAATATAATAGAAATAGTAAAATTACAGAAAATTCATTAAATCCACTACGATTAGTAGAATTAGTTTTCCCTCCAAAATTAGCTCTCTGAGGTGCTTTATGGTCCTTTTTTTTATAATTATTTAATGAATTATTAAAAGTAGCATGTGCAGTATTATTATTTTTTTTAGTAGAAAAATCGAGACGAATAGGACGCCCAGAAATAAAATGACCATTCATTTCAATAGCTTTTTCTGCATCTTCTATACTAGAAAATTGAATATAACCAAAGCTAAAAATAATATAAATACAAAACAAAAAATGCATAACATTATTACCCTTTTAATTGGCCTGTTTTACGATTAGTAGGCAGTCTAATTTCTACAATTCCACCTATTCTTGAAAATGCAGTTCTTACAGCTTCTTCATTAGCTTTAAATGACAAATTACCAATAAAAAGAGTATCAGATTTTGGACTTCGAATATCTCCATATTTATTTGCACGAGTACTAGCATTATTTTTAAGATTAGCGGATAATCCGGTGCTTATATCGACATTAATAACGCGCCCATCTATTTCTTTTCCTGAATATGTAAGAGCAGCTTGTGCTTCTTCAGGTGTAGAAAACTCGACATATCCAAATCTAGTTTTTTATAAATAAAATATCCATTTCATAAAAAAATACAGACCCTTTTGACTTCCCAGAATTTTTATTAGTAATAACTCTAGAGCTGAGAACAGTACCAACACTCTCAAATTCTTTAGCAAGCCAATTATCATCTACGTTCCAACTAAGACCACCTACAAAAATAGTTTTAGATCCCTCAGCATCTTGCCCAGTATTTGTTTTGTTTTTTTTAGTTTCTTTTTTGTCTATCTCTATAGGCGCATCTTTTCTTTTCTTTGATGTATTTTTATTATCTTTATGTTTAATATTTTTATTATCAGATAATTTCTTAGCAGAATCATGTGGACTAAAATCACTAATTTCTTTCTCCAATTTATCATCAATATTATCAAAGTTTTCAGTTTTAGAAACGTGCTTGTTTTTTTTGGAAATATTTTTACTTTTTGAAAAATTATCGTTAATATTTTTATTTTTAGAAACATTTTCTAAAGGTATTTTAGTTTCTTTATTTTTTTTTTTAGAAAATGTATTTTTTGTAGAATGCTTAGCATTTTTATTGGTATCTGACTGAGTTTCAGAATCACTCGTAGAATCAGTAACAACATTATTAGCAGAATCACCAGAAGAGTTACTAGTTAAATCGCTAGAATCACCGCTAGAACTACTAGTAGAACTACTAGTAGAATCATCTGAGTCGCCAGCAGAATTATTATTAGAGTCATTAATAGTATGAAAACCATCTGTGCTAGTTGAATTTTTATTATCATCTGAATCATCATTATTGTTCGAGGTACTATGACTATCTGAATCACTATCACTTGAGTCTTCATCATCTTTCATTTTTTTATTATCAATAAGTCTATTGTTATATGATTCATTGCTATTTAATTTTTCGACATCACTCAGTTCATCATCCTGATTCTCATTATATTTCTGAATATTTATCCTTTCTGTTTTATTTTCTATAGGATTTTGACCGGATTTTTTAGTAAGATTCTCAACTTTTGTTTCAGTCTTTCTTTTTTTCGGTCCTACTCCAGAATTAACCTTTTCTTTGGTTTCTTGCATTTTTTTGACTATAAAAAAATTAGATAATATCTTTCAAAGAAATAAAGTTACCGGTAGAATCAATAGAGGTAGAACTTTTTAAAGAATTTTCAGAATTAGAATCATCAGAACTTGAATTTGAATCGGAATTGGAATCCAAATCAGAACTGGAATCATCGGAACTCGATTCATCCGAAAGACATGATTCATTAGAAGAGTTAGAACTATCAGATGAGCTTGAATCATTTGATGAACCAGAAATATCTGTTTTTTTCAATATATTTCCAGACAATTTAAGATTTTCTGATAAATTCTCCGAGCTTGAGCTTTCAGAAGAATCTTCAGAATCTGAGTCTTCCGAAGAATTTCTAGAGCTTGGAACTTTAACTAAGCTTTCTTTTGATGAACTTTTCGATGAGCTTTCTGATAAGTTTTCTGAACTACTTTCAGATGAGTTTTTCTTTTCCTTGAATTTCTTAAGGTGTAGCTCTTCTGATCTTAGTTTAGAAGGTGCTTCAGATGCTATTTTAGATTTTTTTTCTAAGCCACCTAAACTAGAACTTGAATAATTTTTGCGAGGTTCTTTCATAACCGAATAATCCTAATATAAATAATAGTTAGGAAAACAAATATAAACAAAAAATTTGCTTATTGTTGCAAATATAATTTAAATTATACCTCGTTTTTCTTCTTTTTCTCTAATTCTTTTTTTATACTTTTTATTGTCGATTTTGTTTGTTCTTTAGAAACTCCTGGCTTAGAAACTCCCCCCTTTTTTGCAGGTATCTTGTGAACTCTCTTTTCTTCATTAGTGTTTTTATTTTCCTTTTTTATAGATGATTTTGCCATTTTAAAAAAAATAACGTAATTTTTTAAATTTCGAATAAACGTGAATTTTAGATGAGCAATGATGTAAAAAAATTAAACTACTGAAAAAAGTAAAAGAATTTTAATGTTATTTTATATTTTTTTATTTTGTACAAAATGGTTAAATATTAAATATTTTAAATAATTAAATTAATACATTTGGATTTAAATAATTATAGATAAAATATTAAATTTAACGTTTAGTTTATGTTTTAAAAGAAACATATTAGCTGATTTTCAAGATATTTGTTTAGAAATGGTTCAAATACAACAATTTTAAAAGTTATAATTAACCTTTTTCTAAATTATATCAGCCAAATTTAATCGAATATTTATGTTTATGTGGTACGAAATTTGTTATATAATTGGTATCTAGTATATTTAATATTCTGTATATTGTTTTAAATTAAATTTTAATGCAAAAAAGTATAATTATCGAAATTATATTTTTAAATGTTAATAATTATTCAAAATAAATGTTTTTATATGAAAATTACTATAAGATTCAATCAATTCTAATATATAATATTGTTGGAATATTTTTTTAAAACAAAATATATGTATCAATTATTTCAAATGCATAATATTTGTATTAAAAGAAAAAAAATATTGCAAATATATTTGTTAGAATATGAAAATAAAATATGATAAAAAATCTAATAGACAATAATTAATAATTCAAATGATCTTTTCTACCATATTTGGTCAGAAGGTAAAGAAAGTAAACCATTTTTTTTTTTTTCATTCTCTAATAAATTGATCCATTTTTCCATAGAATCCCTGCTTTTTTGTGTATGAATGTTAACTGTTGGAAAAATTTTATCAACGTCAATAGAAAGGCAAAAACATCTAAATATTAATAACATTTTCTAGGATATTAATTACTTACATAAGTTCTTTGAACGACGAATGTTCAGAATATGGAATTGAATAACATATCGATGTATTTGTACTGTCTTTATTAGATTTTATCATAGTATAATTATAAGATATTTTCCAATCTTTTATCGTAGAGTGAATATTAGAAAAATCTATAAATCGGGATTTTAAAAAAACAGAAGTTCTTCCTGTTGCGTTGAATCCTACTATTTTAGAGAAATGTGGTTTCTGTTCTATAAGATATCGATTAAGTGTCTATAATATTTAGATTCAATATCAAAAAAGATATTTTATATTTCTAACCTCAACTGACATATTTTTAAAATTAACAAGATGAACAGAAGCTTCACTAGGATCACTAGTAAGTAGCGATGATAACTTTTCATTTTCAAGACATGAAATTATTTTTTGCTTATATTGATTTGCATATATTTTTGATTTTAAAGAATTAGCAATTCCTATTTAAATTTATTAAAATACAAATAAAAAAGAAAATTTATTATACCGAGTGCTAATTTTTCTTTTCCAATGATATAAGTATTAATTAATATCAATAATCTATGCTGATTTTTATGTGTTATGTTAGTTGAAACCAAAAAATTATCAAGATTTAGAGATTTCCTTTTTTCGGGAAAATCGTTATTAATGAAATTATTATTCAAAATTTTACATATTTCAATTGCCGCATTTATAACAGTTTCCTGAGATGGAAATAAATATTTTGGACTATAAGGATTAAAAATACTATCAAATATATGCAATATGTATATACTTAAAATATGTTGTATCAAGGTATAAAAAATCAAAATGCTTGTTTTTAATAGCAGAATGAGAAATTTGTGATGGACATGCTCGAAAATCTCCACAATGTAAATATCGCATACTTTTTCCAGATTTTTCAAATTCAAAGATAAATAAAACTGATCCTGGACAACTTCTAGAATTAGCATTTTTATAAATCATAGTAAATAAAAATACTGACTGGTTAGCATCAACCAATGTAACCCATATGTTATTTAATAATATTTTTCTATCCATTGGCAATTTTACAACATATTCAGGTTTTACTTTTAACTGACTAATTACAAGATTTCCAGTAATTTCAGAACAGTAAATTAACCCATTATTCCAGTGTCTTGTAAGACCTTTATAGTGATCTGAATGAAAATGACTAAAATAATCAAATTAAAATTAATTAAAAATTAATTAGTGTAGTGTACGACAAAAAATAACCTATGCATCCTTCGATTTTTCCAAATTCAAAAGCATCTACAGAAAATCCTGTATGTGGCATAATTTTATAAAATTGACAAATTTTATTTAACGTTCTTTTTTTAAGATGTAATTTTTGATTTTTAAATACTTTTGTTATAGATCTTTTTGTGTCATATTTTTTTAATGTATTCGTAGAAATAGTATTTATTTTGCTTATTTTATTTAGATTATTTTCTTCTATATAAGTTCTTTTTGATGAGATAGTCATGTTCTTATCAATATCGTCATAGAAGCTTGGGTTAGATTCTTGAGTAACTTTAAAACAATTGTTTACATGAGTATCAAATTCCTTTATAATTTCAGAAAAAAAAAGATAAGAATCAAAAAAGTACTTTCTCTGTATAATATTGAAAACATATTGGACAATTGAATTTATTTGATAGAGTTTTTTTATCTAAAACTAATGAATTTTTAAATATAAATAAAAATTGTTACCATCAAAATTTTCAAAAGTTCTTTGAATATTTTCTAAAAACATGTTACTTTTTTTGAGAAAACAAAACTTTAGAAACTATTATTTAATATTGAAATATCTAAATATATTATGATTATAAAATGATAAATTTCTTAAAAACCTTTCTTAGATTTAAAAAAAATATCTCAAAACAATAAAAATTAGACTTGAACCAAATTTATTAAAATCTGTACCTTCTTGTATTTCATATTTAGTATTCTTAAAAAAACTATTTTCTAAAAAGTTTGAATTATATTTTAAATCTTGATTACAATTCTGAATAGTATGACGCGAATCTAAATCTTGCTTTTGAGTTTTATCCCAAAAATCAAACAATGTCATGTTTTTAAGCGTATTTTTCTTGTTTTTTATAATAGATTTTTTCATTATTTTCTATATTAATAAAATTTTAAAATAATTAAGTTTTAAAAATTGTTAAATATATTTTTAATTTTAAAATCTTAAATATTTGGATTTTATAAAAAAATACAATATATATCACAAATAAATTATTATTATCTAATATTTTTATCAATAAGTATGGAATTTAAAATTATTTTAAGTTTCTAAACTTTTATTATAAAATATTAATTACTAATTTGCATTTTAAAAATTCTATACTATAAAAATATCTCAATAATTATTAATTAAAAACATCTTTACTTGATCTTTATTTAAATATTCAGATTTCATTCTTAAAATTCCAAATTTGTTATATAATTATTAATTTAAAAATATCCAAATTAAAAAATATTAATTTTGCAAACTATTAGAATTTTTTACAAAAATATTAAAATTATTATATAACTTTCAATTAAAAAAAATTTCTATATTTTCTATTCTTATTTAATAATGTATAACCAATATTAATATAAGTGAATATAATATAAAAAAGTTTTATGATTTTTATTAAACTTAATTCTGTATGTAGACCTTTAATAAAATTTAACTCACAAATATTAAAAAAATAATTATATAGGTTTTAATATATTATAGATTTAAGGATATATTCTTAATTTCGAATTATCTTTTAAAATCATACTAATTAATCATTTTTAGATCGTTATTTATAATTTTATTTGTTTCAAAAGCTTAAAATTTATTTAATATTCAAGTTATAATATATAATTAATAAAAAAGATTATAAATAAAAAGAGATGTCCTTTGCTGATTTATATGACACAAAACCTATGCTATCTTATAAAAATTACACTGAGGATTCATTAGAATATCGTGAATATTATATTTTAGTACAACAGATATCCCATAATATTCTTACTATTAATTCTAATGTTTCCACTATAAATAAATTATCTGATATTTTTGGAACAAAAAAAGACACTGATGATATTCGAAACCAGCTGTATATCTTATATTTTTTACAAATAATAAATTAATATTCTAGGCATAAACTGATTGAAGAAACCCATGAACTTGTCAAAACAACGATGACATGCGTCAAAAAATTATGCGAATATGAGTTTCCTTCAGATTCTGTAGATAAAATTATATATTTTTTAATATTAACTTAAAATAGCATAATAAGTTTACTCAACAAAAACTTTCAAATGATTTTTCTAATGTTCTTATAAATTTCAAAAAAGCGCAGAATATCTCAATAGAACGTCAAAAAAAGTGCATACGAGTTTCAAAAATAATTGTTGAAGAAAATGATCAAGAAGAAAATTCACCACTTCTTCAAGATAAATTTAGGTATCTTTTTTATCTATTTTTTCTTGAACACATTTCATTATCTTTTAGAATGCAACTTATTGATGGCTCAGAAATAGAGTTTAATGAATCATTAATTTTGGAACGAGAATCAGAAATTCATACTATAGAGTCGGGTATTATAGAATTAAATGAGATTTTCCGGGATCTAGGAACTATTATATCAGAGCAGGGAACTATGATAGATAATATTGAGAATAATATAAGCACAACTTTATCTCAAGTAATTCATGCTGATAATGAACTCAAAAATGCCAATAGATATCAGAAAAAGACAAGAAACAGATCATGTTGCATATTATTTATTTTAAGCTTTATAGCTTCTATAGTCATTTTAACGGTACTTTTTATTTTTATATATAAACTAATAATTAAAATACAATAGATTATTTTAGGATGATTTAATCCATCAGACTTGCCTTTAATTTCTCATTTCTACTTAATATTGACAAAAAAGTTAGAGTTATTTAAAAAATTAAATATCCTTGTCTAAATTATGCTGATTCAAAAGTATCTGTTTATATTATCATCATATGGATTATTATAATTTTGATATTTTTTGTAGTTTAAGAAATCTTTAACTTATAATCTTATAAAAATATTATTGCATTATTTTCACATTTAACAATGTTTTATTTATCACTGGATTATTTTAATATTATTATCTTTTTGCCATTTAGTGAATTGTTCTTCTTGGGATTTATATTGTTTCGAAAGTTGATCTATCATGGATTTTATCTATTTAATAATAATTAATATCTAATACTAATTAATTTCACAGCTTACTCCTTCTTGATTTGTTTTTAAAGAAGGAAGAACTTCCTTTACATTCTTCTCCACTAAAACACCACCAATCATTTGAAAACACTTTCTTTCAGAAGGATGATTCATAAGAGTTTCAATTACTAATCTAAATTTCATAAAAATATATCATAAAAAAATATTTATTTAACGTATGTTCGTTAGATTCAACTTCCAAATCAACTATTTTTTGCGCTAACTGCTGTAAAGATTGTTTATATAGGTTATATTGTTGAGAAAGATCTTTAATGATTAGCTAAAAAGTTATAGTTAAAAATACTAGCCTAATTCGTTTTTCTTTTGTTCTGCAAACATTTTTTTAATGATAATTAGATTTTTTAAATATTTTTTCGATAATTCTTTTTAACTTGATAATATAAAATATGTAGTCCTTAAAAAAGTAAATTCTTAAAATATAAGATTTAAAAATAATTGTAGAGAGAATTAATATATATTTATATTTCTAAAGGATTAAAAAACATTGTTTATTTAAAATAGCACTTAAAAATTATTAAAAATAATTTCAAAACTTAATTTTGAAATAACTGAAGTATAAAATTAAATATTAGGAAAAATATATGAAAATTTATCAAAACTAATAAGGAATAATATATACTTTAAATATTATATTTTATATTAAACATCAAATTTTTAAATAAGATTTTCATAAATCATTTTTTAAAAGGTATATTTTAATATAAATAAATTTCTAATAAAATAAAAATGTAATCTATATTAAGAGACTTCTAAATAATACTGAAATTAGGGTAAAATAATTAAACTTATGTTTATAATTTTTTTCCATATTTTATAAGGAAAATTTAATTTCAATAAAATATATAATAACAAATTATATAAACAGGAATATGATGTTTTTAATACATCCCTAACTACTGTTTTCTAAGAACATTAAAATATAGTAATTTTAATGTTTTATTGCTGACAGAAAAGTGAAAATATCAAAAAATCGATGTTTAATCAAACATCTTCAATTTCTTAGGATACCATAAAACTTCTGAATTCATAAAACTATTTTCTTGATTCTCAAAACCTGAATTTATTTCAGTTGTATTTGAATAATAATTAAAAAAATTTTCTGGAGTATCAGATGTATTTCTATTATAGTTTACAGTATTTAACGTATTATAAGGAAAAGATGAAGCCGATCCTAAATAAGTAAAAAACATTATTAATTAATGTTCTATATTATTTGTACCAGACAATTTCATTTCATGTATCTGTGGTGATAGATCAGAATAAGTTGACGATTTTATAAATGTAATCGGCCATTGAAGATAATTATCATTGATAGAATTTAAAAGAGGCTCTGTCGAATTTATATCATTTTCATCTAGTCTTAATATTTCATAAATGTTATTATGGTTTCCTTCAGGTTCTTTCTCATTTGTTTTAATTTCAATATCTTTTTTTTCGTATTTCTGTAAATTTGAATCATTATTTGTTGAAATTTCATTTTTCTCCGAATTCTCATTTTGGAAATCAGAATACTCACTAAACTTCAATACAATTAATTATTTGCTAACTAGTAAAAATACTAACCTGTTCAGTTGTAAAAATCTTTTCAGCAGGATCAGTCAACATTCTATTTGCAGATTTCTCAATATTACTTTCACCTTCCGAGCAATATCTGTAAACCCTACGTTGTTCATCTCGTACTAGAACGACTACTTTGGCACCAGTTAATTCACTATATTGTGCAGCTTTTTTCATTAGCCCGGGTAATCGTTTAGATGCAGTGATCTAAAAGGTCGTGTTAAAATTTATAAAAAAGCTTTTGATTACCTGTCTTTGTCTTTTGTCTTCCCTGTATTTCATTGCTATTTTGGTTTTTCCTTTCCCGCATGGCTTATAAGGTAATAATGTAGTAGATTTTATTTTAGGAGCCAAAGGTTGATATTGTCTATCTAAAAACATATATTATAATCTAAATCTGAAAAGAAATGTATTCCAGTATTCTAAAGTTATTTTTGTTCGTAGTGCCTTTTTTTCTAAAAATTATATTTTATGAAATGTTATTTAATTGATATTTCTAAGCATAAATAATATTAATCTTTTAAAAAAATAGGGTAGTCGGAAGAAACTCTTAAATTGTTTGTCAGCATTATCAACCCAAATATGTCATTTAATATTTGCATGATTTTTATTTTATTAATTCTTTGTTATATTTTTGTTCATATTTTTATAATTCAAAACCCCATATTAGTGAGCATAAATGTAATGCAATTTTTTTAAGTATAGGAAAGAAAGTTAAATTATTTATGGATATATTATTTATTTGATAATAAGTATTGTCATTTAATTTATTTTGAGAGTGCTCAGGTAAAAGTTTATGCCTTTCGATAGAGTTATGCTCTCATAAATAATTCAAGAATATTATTATGCAAAAAGATGGTTTAAATCTCTCTAAAAAACAAACAAAAAGTAATATATTTAAAAATATATTAAACAATGATTATATTATAAAAAAGGTTATATATAAATCTATAGTAATGTACAAAAATTTTTGAATAATATGAAGATAAAATATAAAAAAAGTCTCTTATAGCATTGAAACAATGATTCTAAGATGATTATATATTGATATTAAATTTTGTTATTCAATTTCAGCTATATATAAAAATTAGTTAATTTTTAAGATATTTTATCAGATAATTAAAAATGGAAAAAAATAATTTATATTAAGGGAATAATAGTTTTTATAAAAATTATATTACAGATTATAATTTTATTAAATACATTTTTTAAAATAAAAGAATATTTTTTGATAAAAATTTTAATATTTAATATTTCATTATAAAGAATTTTTTTAAATAAGAATTGCTAATCTTTAAACTATTAAAATTATTTTAGTATTTATAATAAATCGACTTTTTTAAATTACATTCATATAAATATTAATAGAAATATTGATAATTACTAAATACATGTTTTATTTTAACCTTAATATATCTCGATTTTTATCGTTTGAATTTTATAACATTAAACATTAAAATTTTTTTAAAAAATTATGTTAATTTTCAGAAAATTATTATATCCTCAATGGATCTTCATAATAAAATAGCTTCTAAATTACTAATAAAATATAAATGTAGAAAATAAGATTTTATATTTTTAAATATTTAAAGACTAATTTTGGTCAGTAGTTATTAAAAATATATCAAGAAACTTTTCTTTTAAAAGTTTGGCTCCAGAAGGTACAATTTTAAAAGGGATTAATATTTACAAAAAAGGCATGGATCCTATGGCACTTAAAGAATCAGAATACCCGGATTGGTTATGGAAAATTTTAGATGATTCAAAAATTTCTGATGAAAAAATAGAAAAGAAAAAAAAATTTAAAAAAGACAATAAAGAAAAAATCAAATCCAACAATTTTCTAAGAAGCAGGCTTTAAAGATATAATCAAAATGTTAAAAATATATACTGCACTTAAAAATGAAAACCTAATTTTTATAAATCATAAATAACCTTTATTTTTTAATTCCTTTTCAGAAAACTCCCAAAGTTTTTCAGATGCTTCTAGACTAAAGTTGCCAAATGGTATAGCCTTTTTGCAATATGGAACTAGATATTCTCCATTAAGTTTTTTCTCAACAATATCATTAGAAGCTGCTGCAAAAATCTGAGTTATAGCTCCTTCTTCTTTACTTATAAATAACCTTGAAAAAATTAGAAAGGACCTTAGAAATTTAGCTGTAAATGATTAATTTAAAACTTTCATTTGTAAAGAGTATACTATATCTAAACAATCCTGTTCTTACTACACCGGGATGAACAGATATTACATAAATTCCATCTTTTGAATATTTTTGATAGATAGATTTTGTAAAAAGAATAAGGGCTAGCTTACTTTGAGCATAACGCAACCTAAAATATTTGAGTATAGTGTCAAAAAATATTGTAAAAATTACCATCTAAGTATCAATTCAGGGCAATACCAAAATGATTTCATATTCAAATCATTATAAGTTATATTTTTTAAAGACATAGAGTGTGCTCTACTGCTTACATTAATAATACGAACAGCTCCTTCTTTTTCATTTTCCAATGTTTTCTTCATAACAGGCAATAACAAGCGAGTAAAAAGATAATGAGAAAGATAGTTTGTTTGAAACTGAATCTCAAATCCATTTTTCGTTTCTGAATATGGAGGGGCCATAACCTGAAATTACTAATTAATAATATTTAAAAACATATAAATTAATACTCCTGCATTGTTAACCAAAATATGAAGTTTCGATTCTTTATTTATAAATGTAGAAACCGCATTTTTAACACTATTAAAATCACATGCATCGTATTCAAGCCAAAAAACGTTTGGATTCGTTAAAGTTTCTTTGATATTTTTAATAGCTTCTTCTGTGCGTTTTTTACAACGTGAGGCAATATAAACCTTAGCATTCTTTCTTAAAAGCTCACGAGCTGTTACAAAGCCTCTTAAAATTTGTAAGTCTTTTATTTTTCTTAAAAAAAAACCTACATTCCTGAATTTGCGCCTGTAACAATGGCAATTTTATCAGAAAGATCAGGAAGTTGACTAGAAATCCAATTTAAATCATTAAACATTTAAAATAGAACAAATATTATTTTAAAAATATGTATATAATTTTCAAATAATTATAACAAATTTTAATATTTATATGAATTTTAAAAAAACAGTTAAATTTATGATTAAAAATAATTATAAAAATAATTAGAATTTGAAAATACTATATTATAAATTTAAAGTTTATAAATTAAAATATTAGAAATGAGTCTTGCAGATATAATAAACAGTAAAATGACTCCTAAAAATTTCAAATAAGTTTTATAAGCATAATAATTTTAACATCAGAACTTGTATATATATATATTCAAGCGAAATAGTTTTTTATTAAGATTTGAAATTTCTAATACTAATGATTTTTTTTCAAAATTGACTCAATTTTAAAATTTTATAAAAAATTATTGTTTTAAGTTATTCTAATGTTAAGGAAATTTTGTTATATAAAAGCAAAGAGAATTGATCATTGTTTAAAATTTATAAGCTATATTTTTTTAATAAAAACAATTATTTTAAAATATAATTTTAAATTAATAACTCGTCAAGTATAATTAAAAATACATGTTTATAGAGAAATTTGCTATTCAATTTATGAAATAATAAAGGCCTTTGTCACTCAATATTAAGCACTAAAATTATTGTTTTTTCAATCTATACTCTTTTTTTTAATAATATATCTTAAAAAAAAAGTCATTAGAAAATCATAAAATTCTATTTGAAATGCCTAAAGCAATTATCGCTCCCAGCATTTTAGCAGGTAATTATCTACTAATTTGTGATTTTGTTATTATTATAACTAGGCGATTTTTCACGTTTAGCAGAAGAAGGAATTAAAGTAAGTTTTATTTTTACATTTTTAAACTTTATTTATGCTTTATATTAGATGATAAAAAATAGTAAGATTAAATTATATATAACTTAGTTCATTTCTCAAAAATGGAAGGTGCAGATTGGCTGCATCTTGACATCATGGATGGTCATTTCGTCCCAAATATTACAATTGGAGCACCAGTAGTTAAATGTTTACGAAAAGCTATTCCTAAAAGTGATGTTATTTTCGATTGTCATATGATGGTATCTAAACTTTTCATATTTAAGTTTGTTTGAATTGTGTATCAGGTATCAAAGCCAGAACAATGGGTTCATGATTTTGCAGAAGCTGGAGGGGATATATATTGTTTTCACTATGAAGCAACAAGTCTTGATATTTCTATATGAATAATATAATAACTTTTTTAGATAATCCGTCAACACTTATAGATATTATACATAAAACAGGAATGAAGGCAGGGATTGCTATAAAACCAAAGACACCCGTTTCAGTTTTGTTTCCTCTTGCAGATCGTTTGGATATGATACTAATAATGACGGGTTTTTTTGTTAATTATTTTTTTTTTCTAACTATTTTTTTTAGTGGAACCTGGATTTGGTGGTCAAACAGTAAGTCTTTTTTGATTTGTTCATATTCATTTCACCATATCCCAATAGTTTATTCCATCATGTATTTCTAAAGTACGAGCTCTTCGCCATCGATATCCAGATCTTAATCTTGAAGTTGATGGTGGTCTTACCGAAACTAATGTTACTCTTGCTGCTGAAGCTGGTAAGCTTAACTTTCGTTTATTTTTCTATGTAATATTTTAAAAAATATAGGTGCCAACGTTATTGTTGCAGGCACTAGTATTTTTCAAGTATAACACTATTCATTTTTTATCAAATTTTCCTCATATTTTTTTTTATAGGCTACGCATCCCAGTACTGTTATCCAAACATTTCGTCGAATAGTTCATACTTATCAACCTTCATCATCTCCTTCATCTCCTTCACCATTATCACCTTCTTCATCACCTTTTTCGTCATCTTATACATCATCCTCGCCACTTCCACTTCCTCCACCTTAAAATTATGCTTAAAAAACAAATGGTGGCCGGCCACCTCTAATTTCATCTTATACTTTCAATTATAAATTTTAATATAAAAAAACCCCAACATACTTCCAATTCCTCATTTGATTTATGCATTTTTATTAAAGAAATCACTTGCTGAAGTCTTTAGTACCCTGATTTTTATATATACTTTTCCTAGACAGATTTTTTTGATCTTTGTTTAAAGTTATTAAAAGCTAGATTAGCAACCCTAGCCCTAATATCCAAGGGTCTTAGGGAAATACAGCGTTTTAAGGATTCGAACTTAGCGACGGTACGTGTCGATCGTACTATCTTTGGGTTATGAGCCCAACGGGTTAGCCGTTTCCCCACGTCGCTAGTTTATGGTATATCAAAAAAACATATAAATACAGTTTAGAAAGATATTTTATCAGTTATCAGTATAAAATAAAATTAAAATAATAGTTTAATAAATTTATGGATAGTTCAGAAAATCACATATTACAATTATATACTTCATTTGCATCAGCTTCTTTATTTGTATTTTTTTTTGAAAGGATCCTTAACTAATACAAAATAGATCCAGTCAAGTACGTCTCGTCTTCAATTTCTTCTGGAGACTGCTCGTTTTCCTTTTGAAATTGTTGATCTTGCATCCAATCCAGCGGCAAAGGAACTTTGGAGTAGTTCTAATAATGGAAAATCTCTTCCTGCAGTTATTAAAGAAGGAAAAATTCTTGGTGTAATTTATATTTTTTAACTTTATCATTTTAATTTGGGTTTTAGAATATTCATGATATAGAAAATGCAAACGAAAATGGATTATTAAAGGAAGTACTTACGGGGAGAGCATGTTTATAAATTACAATTGCATTTCTATTATTGTTTGTAATATACCCAATATTTTAGTATTTTTCACATGTTTTAATGAAGTTTTATCTTTTGAAATTCTTATATATTTTCATTGTTTTAACATTCTACTCAAGTTTAACAATAGATTGTTAAAATATTTATCTTTAATTTTTTATATATCATAAAAAGATAGATTGAGAATTCTATTATTTATCTTCAAATAGTCAACTCGGTTTTATAAAACTAATATAAATATACATTTGTTTATGTTTTCTAATATACAAATATATATATTATACCAGTAATTCTTATAATTAATTTTCTTAAGACACTTAAATATAAATATTCAAAATAATTTTTTGTAATATTAAAATTAAGAAATTTAATAAAATCCTGAACTAAAAATACATTTTTTAATAAAAATTAACATTTCAAGAAAAATATCTTTTTTTTTCTAAAAATATAATTAATGCAAATTATTATTGTTTTAAATCTATATATATACCTCTTATATTTTTTTTTCACTTTTTTAAACAATAAGTTATAATTTTGATTAGCGAGTATAATTTGTAATTTTTTTTTTAAAAAAAAAAAAAGAAATATTAATCTTATAAAATGCTATTTTATTCGTTTTTTAAAACACTTGTACGTATTATTTAAAACATATTTAATATTTAAAATTTATTAATAGATTGACACACAAATAGTCGTAGAATTAAAAAATGATTTATCTATAAAAGGCATTCTAAAATCTTGTGACCAATTTCTAAATCTACGAATTGATGATTGTCAAGTTTTAGAAGAATCAAAATATCCGCATTTGGTAGATTTTTATTTATTTTGATTTCTATTTTTAAATAAATTATCAGAGCTCTGTAAAAAATATGTTTATTCGGGGAAGCGTTGTTAGATATGTACATTTGCCTTCAGAAAATGTTGATACAGCTCTTCTCGAAGATGCAACTCGTAGGGGTGATACAGCTTATATTTATATAGATTCATTAGCTAAATTTTTTACAGAAGCTCAAATTCAAAGTCAAAAAAATGAGCGATGACTGATATCAAATAATACTTTTATTAACTGTAAGGAAACAATTCATTTATTTATTCATCTATTGGTCAATATAATATCTGCCTTATAAAATGCAATAAATTAAGAAGTCATATCTTATTTTTTAAATTATAAACCTTATAAAAATAAAGTTTATTAGAATCCAAAATATCATATCCTGTGTTTTGAAGATAAATTTTATATATTGTCAAAATATCTATGAAATATATATAATAAAAATAGATTAACTTTAGCATTTAATTAAAAAACAAATTGAAAAACATTATTTTTTCTTCAATTACGAAAATATTAAATATATCAGGATATTTTTATAAGTACTTTTTTTTAGATTCTTTTGCAATATATTGTTTTTATAATTAAAAGTTATATATAAATTATAAGGCTAAGTTTCAATTATTTAATCATTTAGTTAAACTTTACCCATTTTAAATATAAATAATTAACTTTTTAGATTTAAAAATATGAAATTACATTTCTATCAAAATACTTATATAAATCCCATCCATTTTTTTAAATAATTATTTTAAGTTTCATATTTAATATAAATCCTTTTATTTTTCAATAAACTCTAATAAAACCTAATTTTTTAAATCTTTGATAAAAAATGCTATAAAACCCAAGTATTTTATAAAAAATAAATACATCATTTCATTATAAAATTTTCTTTCAAATTTATACGGATAAATCGACTTCGATAAAATATCAACAAAACCTTATGGGACAATTGACAAAAGAATCTATTTTAAAACTCTATCAAGAATTCCGACAGGCACCATCACAATCAATATTTTCGGATCAATGCATTTTAACCTATGTAACAACTTGTATACGTTTTTCTGGGAGTAAAAATATATTATTGCAACTTTCTGAATATCAAACTCATATTAAATTAAAAGAAGAAATAATTAACCTACACGTAACAGGGAATTCCATAGTTTCTGAGGTGTTTTTAGATATTGAGTTTATCAATGGGCCAGCATGGCTCGTTCCAGGACTTGACGACAATTTTTACATTGACCGTAAAGTTCAACTTCCACATGTATTTATTGTATATTATTATAATGGATTAAGATTAATTTGCATTAGATATATATCATGGAGTTCGATGAAGATGAAAAGATATCATCTATTCGTGTTTTCTGGGATCAAGCAACTATTCTTAAACAACTTGAAGTTTTTGGTAGCCGTAAACAAGCTTTTCCTATTAAACTTGGTAAAGAACAACATTATTTCATAAAGAATAAAGGTATAATTATTAATTAAAATATTATGTAAATTAATTTTTATTAGATATAGACAGTTCCAATTTGTCCTATTCTAAAGAAAAACAAGTATTTTGTTTTTATTTATTTCAAATTTTTATTTATTATTAAAGCAGCAAGTATCGAAAAAGTTATCACTTTTTGAACCATATGAAGAGCCATCTAGAGAATTCCATCGCAATCCTGTTCGACCTCGTTCTCCAACTAGGCCAATTCAACGTCCATACGAAGATCTTTTTGTTGTAAAAGGTACTCCTATTTCAGTCAAACCTCCTAAGGCATCTCAAAAAATTCATAATGTATCAAAAATCAATTCTATTTTATTTAATGAACATGAAGAATCTAATCAACAAAAAAGTAATGATTTAAAAAAAGATCCTAAATATACACATTTTGAATTTAGTACTCCTACAGAAAAAGAACTTGAAGAAGAAAGGCTAGCAATACTAGCTAAGGCAAAAAAAGGTGTAGCATTGCGTACTATGTCACGTAACTGGGATGAATTTGAAAATACACCTGTTTCTCAATGCAAACAAGACGCCTCTAATCAAATGCTGGAAAATACAGAACTCGATCAGGAGAAGTATGTTCCATTAAATACTAGATCTTATCACGAAAATCAACTTCATTTTTCATTTTCTAACGATAGTCCAACTGAAAATTCCCCCGTTCGCGTAATTCAAAATGAAAAATATTTCCAGCCAAAATATTCTATATTCGACTATTCGTCTTCAGAGAAGGATCAAGATCAAAATACAAATATTGAAAAAGCAGATACTATTACTAGACTAGAACGAGATATGAATGCGAAATGGTCTTTTGGTGATTATTGAAATGGTCCTGCAAGAGTGAATAAGTCTTTGTAATATTTTCTTAGGCACATTATATCAAAATTTATAGCAAATTTCTAACAAATAAACAATAATTTTAATAAAGTTAGATTTTATTTTATTCAATACTTTCAATTAATTTATCATTATTCTTTTATATAGTTTACTTTTTATAAAAAAAATTTAATGTAAAGCCATTTCAAATGTCAATATATAGATGTCTTATATAATTAAGAAATTTTAATATTTAATAATTCAAATCAGGTGTTTCATCTATAACACTATCGAGATCCTTATATATTCTTGACATTTTACTATCGCTTTTTCCTTTATATTCATTAAAAACTTTGGATTTGTTGTATAAGCTTTTTCCTGATAAACTTTTTTTTATAATTTATGTCTTGATCATAATTTATATTTATTTTTTCGGAAGGAGAATAAGAATAAAAAGATCCACTTACAGGTGATTGAGATATTGATTTTGGAGAAACATCCAAATTATTTTTTAATGCACCTCTTTGATTAATTTTATCAGAGTATGAATATGCTTCTATCGGAAATACACGTGATGTATCTAAAACATAATTATTTAACAAAATAAACTACTAAAATTAAAATCAAATATACAATAAAATATAATCTAACCTCTTTTTTTCCTTCATTCAACCATTCTAAGTGCCGCTTTTCAATATGCTTTTTAACAAATTCAGGACCTTTAAAAAGCTTTTTACAATCATTAACAGAACAACGAAACCTCTTTTCATCCTCTTGTTTAATATGTGATTCAATTTTAAGTTCAACTGCTTCATCAAAAGGCTTCCCCCCAAGCTTTACAAGATCTGCTTTTTCTAAGTCTAAGAAAATATTCATTTTTTCTACAAATTTTGTTCTCCATAACTCTAAAAAAATATTAACAAAATAATTAAAAAAAATTACAACCTTGTTTAAAATAAAGCTGAGAGTCATCCGATTGATTAGATAACCTAACAACCTTTCCAGGAAACATTTTTTCAAGTTCATACCTAGAATCATATTCGGTGACAGTATAAAAATGAAAAAAATGAACTTGGCGTAAATATTCTATTAAAAGATCTAAAATTTTTTTTATCTAAAAAAAATATAAATATTCACTAATTATGACATTATTTACCATCTTGTGTTTATCATCCGGATTTTCTTTCAAATCAAAAGTAGAAAAACCTATATAATCTTTAACTTCTTCGCTAAAATCAAAGTTTTCATCTATTTTTTTGTCTAACTTTTTGATTGCCTGAATTGCAAACTCTAAATCTTGAGAAAGATTTTTAAGAGTATTTGATAAAGGAGGTAATAATATTTTTTTTGGAAAAGACGGTGAACTATAAAATACAACAGTAATTGGACCAGCTTTTTCATTAGGTTTTTGACTTTGAATAGTTTGAATCAAATTTTCAACACCTGCAGTATCATTTAATTCAACAAAACCTTCTCTCATAAAGCCACGAAAAGGATTAGGATTTGATAATATAATATTTTTTATAATAGGATACCCAGATAATAACTTTTCAAATTAATTCAAGATAAATTTTAAAAATATCAATTTTACCGAAGTAAGATCTGTATAATTAACATTTGGTGTAATATTTTTAATTGAAAGAACATTTTTATAAGTTTTTAAATTATCGTCAAAACTTTCTTCAAAAATATGGGTTGCATTTTCTATTGGTATTGATTCATGCTCCAACTCTGATTCATCATCATCCATCGTAAAATCATCGAAAGTTCCGTTCCTTAAGCATTCTAAAAAGACTATTCGAGCAGATTTTTTAATCTCTATGATTTTTTCATATATAGGTAATCGAGAATCAGGCAAATATTTTTCTTTAAACCATGGTTCATCCATATGTTTATAAACAAATGGCTTTGCAAGCCGTGCATAAAGATCTTGTTTATACGCTTCATATTTCTGATACATTTCATTATCTGCAATATCCATAAGCGTATTAGTCGATCTGTACCATTCATTAAATATAGAAAATGAAACCAAATAATTTAATGTATATGGATCAACCCTAACAACAAATAGTACATATATGTTAACAACTATTATTAATTGTAATAACCTTTTATAAGATCCTATAATATATTTTAATCAATCTTTCTTGAATATCACCATTCTTACCATAATCCCGAGAAAAATCATGTCTATACTTATATTCATCCGATTCTTTACTTCGACAACGTCCATTGCTATAACGTTTATTTCCTTCTCTATATAAATGCCGAGATCGAACATTTCTATCATCATCTGTTTTATAACTTAATAAAATAAAAGCAAATATAATATGTTTGTTTTATACCATATCCATCCCTATCTAAACGTCTTTTTCTATCATCCAAAAAGTCATAAGAGGGACGATAGCAGTCTAAAGAAGACATAATATCTATATATATCTTAAATTTCTTAAAAATAAACTTATTTAAATATTTAAAAAATATATTAAAAAAATAAGTCGCCGATAAAAATATTTAAAAAAATATTAAAATGTATAATAATTTTCATTAAAATAAAAGTAATTTAATTCTATTATAGTTACTTATAAGATTTTACTCATCATTTCCATTTTCAAAAGTAAGTAGATCTTCTAAATTAGGATCATTGGATTCTTCGAATGTTGACGATGGAACACCTAAAATAAAATGTTAAAAGTATTAAAATAAAATGAAAAATACTATATAAACGAATAATGCTTTTATTCGGGTCCTTTGAAAAAATAAATGATAAATAATAAAAATGAACAAATCAAATTACCTTAACAAGAACATATTTTCCTTCGGACAATCCTAAACATAAATCGACAATAGTACGTACGATTCCCCACGCATTAGAAAGACTTAGATTCATTTGCGAAACAAATTCCTTGGGTTTATATCCCGCTACACCTAAAATTACATGTCGTTGAACATCTCGTGGATTTGCTCGGCTTACGTATCTATAAAAAATATTAAAATCTATTAAATATTTATAAAAACTAAAACCCAAGCTTCATTAGTTGAGATCCAGCTAAAATAGATTGTATTGCCCATCGAGCAAGTTTGCAACTATTATTTTTCATTTCAGTAGCAACAACAGCTCCTCGTTGACTATCAAGTTTGGATCTCCAATCCAATGCACCTCCAGCGCCCTGCGCTCTAGGATCAAATTCATTAAGAGCTTTAATTGAACAGAAAAAATCTTCTCCAGACGGATTTTTTACGATAGCATCTACTTCTGTACGACAAATAAGAGTAATAGGTTCATCTCCAAACATTCCTAAATTAAACTTCCTATATTTATATCCACGAGGTGCAAGACTTTCTGTTTCTTCTTCTGGGTTGTAAAATGGATTAGGGTTAGAAAATAAATATTTTTCAGAATCTGGATCTTTTAGAGCTTGTTGTGAAAAGTTTTGATTGATATATGTCGCTTCTAAAGATAATTGACCAGGTGTATTTATTGTTTCTTTTTGACCTTCGGACGGCTCCATTGGAGGATCAGCAGCATTTTCATTAACTGTTACATAATCAAATGGACCCCCCTCTCTTTTATCAAAAAATAATTTATCGCTTTCACGAATAACAATAATATCCCAAGAATAAACAGAACGTGTAGCACACATAAGAAGACTAAGTATAGAATCAATAATAAATACTTTGGCTTCATTATTCATAGCTAGTTTTTGGATCACAGGATCATCCGTTGTCGTAGGATTATAATGAACCCCATCAATTACTTGAAGAAGACGTTCTGCCTTTGTTGAAATTTTATCATAAGATTTATCATAATAACGCAAAAATCCATATGTCTCCAAATCTATACCATTGTTTACCTCAAAACTCAGTTTAGCTAATCGACTAAATTCAATTTCTTCCAATAATTGCCAGTCATGTTTAACTGTTACACTGGCATCTCGAAGGCGTTGAGGTTTATCATATTCCTTCCATCCAAACTTCTTTAATCCTCTAGAAATCTGAAATCCATTACGAACATTTCTATTTGCATCTTGATACCCTCTTGAAACCGTTCTAATAAAGTAATTCCCTCGTCCAGACCCTCGAACCAAATTTCCCCTTCCACGTCCACGAAGCAAGGCTCCTGATCGACTACCAAGGCGCGTCTTTGTTCCTGTTCGATTATCTACAACAGAAAAAGTACTTTCATCTTCAGAATGTTGATACGCAAAAATAGATGCTACGCCTGAGCCATAGACTTGATATTGTTCTAAAATGTTCATATTATTATCAAAATAATTATATAGGAAAAAATTTCTACCTTTATATCGTCCATATTGCCGCTGTCTCTGTTCACGTCCATCTCTTAAAGGATCTAATGTCCAATCTGCTGTTTTGCCTAGTCTATCACTTTTGCTAAACGGTGTATAAGGAATATCCTCCTCAGTCTCAATAGTATCAGTAGGCCCCCATGGATCAGTAGCTTTACGAAGTGTAGGAAGCTTAAAGGTAGACATTAAAAATATCGAAATTTTGAGGCATTAAAATAATTTAAAAACAAAATTTTTATAAAGACCAATTATATATGATGCAAAAATACGAAATGATGCATAGTATTTAATAAAAAAACATAAAGTCAATGTTTAAAAGATGTAGATTCGATAGAAATATCAGGAGAGTTCTCATGATGTTTCCAATTACATATTTTTTCTAATTCTTTTTCTACTAATTTAAGATCAAGTGGTTTTTCGAGCTCTGAAACAAAATAATTAGGACGTGGAACAGTATCCATAAATGATATCATTGCTATAATTGGAGTAGTACTATTAATACTGTCACTTTGTACAATCATTCTAGCCAAATCAATTCCAGACACTAATATCAATAAGCTTTAATTTTAATAATATAAAAAATTACATCTTGGCATAATTATATCTGTAAAAACGACGTCGACTATAAGAAGTTAAATAAAGAAATAAAGAATAAAAATATATACATTTTACATCTCCAGTAGCATAACTAATAGCCTCCGTCCCATCAGATACGCTAACAACACGACAACCAAGTTTTTCTAAAATTGATTCTGAAAGTTTTCTAGAAATTAAATTATTTTCGCACACTTTAAAAACATTAGTAATTTATAAAAACTATTTAAGATATTACATAATATATCCAATGGTCTATCTAAAGTATTATTCAAAAAAGACACTGAAAGTCGTTTAAGATGTAGACGTCTTGGTATCCTTAAAAGCGTACTATTTCCCAATTCTTCATTATCAGAAGATGAAGTCGAAAACTCAATCATTTGATTCCCTTTATTATTATCACATGAATCTAAAAAAGCACCGCCATCCAATTGTCCCTTGATAAATGGTCTCATTCTTGAAGGCATTGTACTGCGACGACGTGTAGTATTATTCTTTGAGAATATTTTATTTATTAAAGAGTTATCAATATGTGACGAAGACGAATTTCTAGTATGTTTTGGTATCTTCAGACAATCATCTTTAGGAATCGAAATTGATATATTAGTTGAAAAACGTTTCTTAGTAGTATTGACAAGAGATGAAACTGAGCTAAGTGGCGAAGCGGGAAATGATGAAACAAGTGACACTTTTGTCATTAAAGAATTAGGCGACGTAGACAATATTGAAGCAGATGATGTTGGTGATGTTGACAAGGATTCTTTTGGAATAATAGTAGAAATAGATCGATGGCGATGTTTTTGATAATCTGTATCAATAGCCAAAGTGATAGGAGATGATTGAGATAAATGTTCAGAACGTAGTCTCTGAATAACATCTTTATTAGCCTTTTCAAGAACTTCTAGATTCTTAAATAAAAAAGAACCAAAATCAGCTGTTCTGGAAGTTTCATTTAGTTTTTGAGTTTTTAAGATAGAATTCTCAGAACATGAAGATGTATTATAAGACATAGAATTATTTTTTATATCGGAATCGCGTTGATGCCCTTTCTTTAAAATACTAGGTTGACTTTTATCAATCTGAGTATTAGAACTTTCTGCATCATCATCGAATTTCTCAAGAATTGCACCACGAGTATCAAAATATTCTGTATTTTCAGGATCCAATGAAGTAGGAACAAAACAGCCATCCTCGTTAAGCAATGTATTCCAATTTATATCAGAAAAGAAAGGATGAGACTTAACTTCATCTGGACCTTTAGATCCTAATCTTTGTGTACGGTCTACGCACATAAGCCTGTTCATTAAATCCTTTGCATCTTTTGAAACTATAACATCATTTGTTTCTGGCCAATCTATTTTTCTTGAAAGGATATTCTCGAATACTTCTTCTGGAGTATTTCCATGAAATGGAGGATAACCATAAAGAAATTCAAAAAGAATACAACCCAACGACCACTAAATATATTAAACTAAAAGCAATAAAGAAACTAGACGATTACCCAATCCCCTGTATCATCCTCGTCTTTACCGTTAATGGTTTCTGGAGAAAGATAATCCGGAGTTCCAACAAATTTCCTCGTTGTATCATTAGGACTAAAAAGATTTAAAAAAGGTTGATTCCCAAGGCCTGTCAGAGAAGGTGCAATATTTGACTGAAAATTAGACCCCCCCAAACTGCTTGAAGTACTGCTAACAAAACTCGTAGTATCTTCAAAAAAAGACTTTTTATGTTCATCTAAATTAAATTTACCAAATGTACTACAAATACTATCTATATCTCCTTCTGATTTTATACCAAAATAAGCTTGATTTTCAGAAGCATGAGATTCATTTCTTTTGAGATTTGTTGAACTCATCAGATTTGTAGTTTGAAAAGAAGATTCTATTGACATAGCACTTGCTGACATAAATGAATGATTTCCAAAATCATAAGATGCTGACCGAGAAAAACTGGATGCTTGGAGGGAAAAGGGTTCAAAAATAGATTCATTTGAAATATAATTAATATTATGTCGTCTTATTAAACCTATTCTTGACAAACCGAAATCGGTTAACTTTAAATGTCCTCGCTGATCAATAAGGAGATTATCCGGTTTAAGATCCCTAAAAAGATGTAAATTAATTGTAATAACCATTTTACATTATCAGCTACCTGTGAATAATACCCTTATCATGTAAAAATTCCAATCCAAGAACTACTTCTGCGATATATTTTTTAGCCCAATCTTCTGTAAGACCACCTAATGCTTTTACAAGAGCTGCACAGTCACCTCCATTCAAATATTCCATAACTAAGTAGAGATAATCTTTGCTCTGGAAAGTAAAAAAGAGCTTAACAATAAATGGAGATTCTCCTTGCGCCATAAGAATTGCACGTTCTGCTCGTACATTTATCACTTGATTTTTAGCTATCATATCTGCCTTTTTAAGAACCTTAATAGCATAATAATCCCCAGTAGCCTTTTTCTTAGACAAATATACAGTGCCGAATGCACCCTTACTAATTGGTTTAATAATTTCAAAATCTTTAATTGAAGGGACAGTTCTAACTGCAGGTGTAATTGATGAAATTTTTGGTGATAACGGAGGTATTCGACTAGTTATATCAGACGTATAAGAGCAATAACGTTGATAAAAATTATTAGTATGATCGACCAGTGAAGGAGAAAAATCTGAACATGATAATAAAGGCGATGTTATAGGAGTTAAATCACAAACAGAGGGGTGATTTCGATGAAACCTTAATGGAGATGAAGTAAGAGAAACAACTCTTCTTGATGGGGACAAATTTCTATGTGGAGAAATTTGTCTATGAGACGAAACATACCGAACAGGAGAAGGTTTGCGCCTTGGCGAACCATATATACCACCTTTTTTCTTAAAGTCAAATGATAAAGGCATTTCATCACAACTATATAAAAGTGGAGAATTTTTCAATGCCGAAAGTTTCGAAAATCCTTTGTTATCCATACTACATAATTCAGATGAACTTTTTTGTAATAAAGAATGTTTTAAAGTTGGCGACTCTTTAAGAGAAACCAACGATAAAACTTCGTTTTCTCTATCTAATATAGGTACTTTTAAAAACTCTGGAAAATCACTACTAGCATTGCAATATCTTTGTCGAAATGACGATTCAGATTCGGATTCGGATTCTTCAATAGACAAAATTCTTTCTTCTTCCAACTTCCGTATAGTCTCATTAATAATATTTTGAACTTGGGCATCAAGTTCCTGACGAATTCTTTCGGAATATAGAATAATATTCTGTACACGCAATACCGCATCAACTTTAGCAGATATATATGCTTTAGTATCTTTACAAAGATAAGATAATCCTATTTCTTCAATATTAGGAGGCGTCCAATTATAAACTAATGATATCCGTTTCCGAGATTCCGGAGACTGAACACGAAGTTCATTTATAGGAATATCTACAAATTCACTCTTTATTGCCGGCAAATTTATTTCCAATGCTGTTTCACAATAATCCAAAAGTGTTTCTATAAGTTGTATTTGTGAAATATAGGATATTTCTCGGGAACCCAAAGGTTTTAAAATACTTGATGACACAATAACCGAAGGAGTAGATCTTATAGAATGATTTCTATATTCAAACACAACATTTGGATTGCCTGGATTTTCATTAAAAAGTTTAAGAATATTACTAAGAATTTCTCGATGATCTTGAAGAATATCCTGACATTCCTGAACGATAGACTCTGTTCTGTGAAGCACTGTACACAATTCAGTATGTTTTTCGAAAAACCAAGGTTGTATTTGACGTTCACATATTCTACAAAGAACAGGAAGTAAAATAGCTTTTTGAGGATTACCATTTGCCAATGCTTCTAAAAAATTAGATAGAACTTGAGATCCAAATCCAAGAGTTTTAATAAGACCCTCATCAATATTCACTACTATAGGGTCAATTTCTATAACAGGTCGTGCTATCCACATTGTCTAAAACAAATATTAAGAAAATAGTCTGATTTAATAAAATATAAACATACATGTATAGCATTTAATGTAAATCTATCACGAATAAGTATACCATGACCTTCCATTTCAATAACTCCTGTAAAATCTCCTTGACAAACAATATCAGTTGTAGCTCTAGGATACAGACTTTCATAATTAGAAATAATAAAAGCATCCCCATCTTTATCAGGTGGTAAATTTGCTAGAATGCTAAAATGAATTCTAAAAATATGAGAATCATCTTTTAATAGCACATTAGTAGCATATGAAAATATATTTTCATTTCCAACTAAGAAATTAGATATAGGTTGCCCAATAATTCTTTCCGGATCAATACTAATAATGTTAAAATTATTTAGAATTATTTCAAATCATTTCAAATATTTACCCAACAACTTCTTTCCATGAAGGTCCTACCCATTTAAATTTTCCATCAAGGGAAAGTTCTATAAGTATATTAATTCGTTGGCTTTCTTTTGCTGTTTGTCTAAGATCTTGTTCTTCCATTTTTCTTTAAAAGATAATAAATACTTCAGAATCACATCCAAATCATAAAACAGCATTAAATAAACATAGTAGAGGTGACTAAAACCATTCTTTTTAATTTTTTAACCTGAATATCAAATAAAAACAATTTAAAAAAAAAACTAAATAAAGTTTTGTTTGGATATAAATTTAAAAATTTTTAGTCAAATATACCAAGCAATACGTCATATTAGATATTATGTTTATTTTTCTATAAAATATCTAGTATGTAAGTACTTTAATCAATTCCATTTAAATCTAAATTTTCTAATTTCAAGGTAGGTTTAGTAGAAAGCGTAACGTTTAAAATTAATAAAAACAAAAAAAAATCAATATTTAATGGGGTTTTTTATAAAAAGCAACTATTAATTCAATACTCCTTACTTATATATCTAAATATAAATAGTATATATTATTTTTTTTGAATCTACAGTTTTTTGGGAGTTTTTGAAGATATAAATTTTTGTATATTTTTTAATATTTTTATGAGAAAAAATAAATGGAAATAGAGTTAAATAGTATGAATGAAGAAAATATTCAAGAGGTATTTATGTTAAAAAGTATAAAGATAGAAATCTTATTAAAAAAAGTACGAGAAAAAGACAAGTGAAAAAAGAAAACGAAATGATTATAAATTAAAAAATTTGGATAGAAATGAGGATATATGTATGAATATGGACGATTATAACCCTTTTAAAGTGTTGGAAAATGATGGAAATAGTATGTCTATTAGGTTGGAAGATATAGAAAGTGGAAAACGATCAAAAAAAGAGTCTAAAAAGGTAATTTATGTAAAATGAAGCTCAATTAATTTATAAAATAAATTTAGAAAAGGTATCCTACTCTAAAAATAACAAATACATCTCCAGAAAGATATATTGGAATTGGAGTATTTATTTATTCTGCTTTATAAGAATGAAAACTTATTTATCAAGGATTTAAGAGATGTTGTTTTATGGGTTATTGGGAATACATCAGCGCCGTCATGGGTTGCTATAACAGTAATTTATATTTTGGACGGTAAAAAAATCATAACATATATTTAGAATAAATCATCTATTAAAAAAATTGTTGTTTTGCTCATACCTGGACTTGATCCTACACTTTTTAATCTCGATACGGATTGTGTTCTTACAAATTCACCAGTACCATTAGAACAATGTTGTCCTGATAAATTGCAAAATTTTAAGAAAATTTTTTCTTATGTTATTCCTACTCGTACACCAGGAGAAAGATATAAAGTACATTCTCCTATTTCTTCATTTTTGCAATGTCCTTTATCAAACGCAGAAAAAATATGCCAGAGTGAAAAATTGAAAAGCAAAATACAAAAGAAATATTTACCGGAAAATTATTTAATGTCTTATTCTGAACTTGTTGAAAGAGATTATCCCTTACATAGCATTTTTCCTGATTCAAAACCTTTGCCTAGTGGCTGGAAAGAAACGCCTATTCCAGAGAACTTTGAAAATTCATTGGATTCTAAGGGGAAAAAAATATTAGCTTTGGATTGTGAAATGTGTAAAACAGAAAATGGTCCTGAATTAACTAGAGTAACTCTTGTTGATTGGAACTCTCAAATAATATATGATGAACTTGTCAAGCCGGATTCACCAATTGTTGATTACTTGACTCAGTAAGAACTAATACTGTTTAGATCAGTATTTTAAAGTATATGTAGATATTCAGGAATAACAGAAGAAAGACTATCAGATATAACAACAAGAATAACTGATGTTCAAGAAACTTTGTTAAAATTAATCGATAAAAACACCATTATTGTTGGACATTCACTTGAATGGGACTTTCGATCTTTAAAATTTGCACATCCTTACATTATTGATACTTCATCAATTTTTCAACACACTAGGGGTCCTCCTTATAAGCCTGGTTTAAAGTGGTTAGCTCACAAATGGCTAAAAAGAGAAATACAAAAAGAAAATGCATTAGGACATGATTCTATTGAGGATGCTTTAACTTGTATAGATTTACTTAAGTTAAAGTTAAAAAATGGACCAGAATTTGGGTTATTTAATATAGACAACGAATCTATTTTTTCAAAACTAGAAAAATGTGATGAAACAAAAAAGTGTGCTGTTATAGACTATGGAGGACCAGGGCAATGGTATAGAAATTCTTTAAAAACTTTTGTTTCAAGTTCTTCAGATGATGAAATTCTTGAAGGTGTTTTGAAAAACATTGATTCACATGATTTTATATGGGCAAGATTTAGAGAATTGGAATATAGTTTAGGATGGGCAGGGAACTCTGTAACAAAAAATATAGAATCGGTGGATAATGCATTTACGAAACTTAATGAAAGAGTATATAAACTATATACACGTTTACCGAAATATACTATATTATTGATATATAGTGGAACAGGTGATCCAAGAGAGATGTTAAAATTTAATTCCAAGAAAAATGCATTTAATATAGAATTTAAAACTAAAAAATGGGAAGAGTGCGAAAATAAATGGGATGATAATGATAATGAAAAACTTGCACTAGCAACAAATAAAGCCCGCCGAGGTATTAGTTTTATTACACTTAAATAAGTTCATAAAAGAAATTGAATTATTTTTTATAAAAAAATAACAAAAACGTGCATTAATAAATTAAAATATTAGCAAGAAATGTTGATTTCTTATAAAATTGCCATTGATACTTTATAATATAAAAAATATTTATTTAATATTTGATAACTTAAGTACTTTTTCTAAAACTCCTCCAAATTTTCGAAGATATTGAATTTCATCTGAAGAAAACCCTTTACTTGTACGTTCCTGCAAAATAATTAATCGAATTCTTTTATTAATTTAAAATTTACCTTTTTGGCAAACCCAGCTAAAACTACACCAGAACTACTTTTGGATAATAATTCCTTTAATGAATTTTCAGTATTTGATTCATTTATATCATCCCTCCAAAGAGGTACTAAAATACCAACTTTATAATCAAGACAATCTTCATTTAAGTGCAATGGATTTCGATAAATAAGACCACCTTCTGATCTTAAAGCACGTAAATGTAGTGCTGGATCCAAGACAGGAGGAGGATTAGGCAAGCCCCAACTAGCTACAATATCTAAATAAACATTAGGTAATTCGTTGTCATTTTTTTGAAATTTTAAAAATGTAGAATTGTTAGGAAGAATTTGAACAATATAAACCAAATCAAGTCCTAAAGTACATGCTATAACGTGTGTAGCAAAAACAGATGGATGAGATGTATTAGAAGAAAATGACTGTGAATTTAATGTAGAATTTTCTTTCGAGATAGTATTTTCGTGTTTAGAATTAACAAAATTAATTTTTAAGTTAACTGGTGTCGATGGAGGAGTTAATTCTGAATTTTTTAATATTTGTGCATTCTCCTTTTTATTTATATCTAATGAAACCTGTGTAGATTCAATATAATTCTTGTTATTGTATCCTTTATTTTCTAATACGTTAGAAAAATATTGCGGAGAAACTGTTTTATTTTCAGAAATCAGAGAAGAATGAAATGCGGATTTTTGTTCTTTATTATATTTTATTCGTGACAATGGCGAATTTTGAAGACTATTAAATTTGTAAGCATCAGCCATAATTTGATGTTTTTCTCCAATTCTTGAATCAGAAGGTATTACATAAAAGGTAGAGTCTTTAAAATTAGCTATTTCATCAGATTTAAGAGAAGTTTGAGTAGTTTTTCCAAAATTTTGATTAGACCTAGCTTTCGATTCTTGATCAAAATTTCTAAAAACATATTCAGAAGTAGACTTCTGGGAATAGTCATCTAAAATATCTTTATTGTTTGAAATTGCTTGATAATCATTTGTTGTAGAAACAAAATTTAATTCAGGTAAATTAGTATATGATTTTAATGACAATTTTTGAAAATCGACTTCAAAAGGATTCTTTTTCTTATTAATTTGAGAAATATAGATAATTTCATCCATAGCCATACGCGCAAATTGAGAAAGAGGACGTTGATCCTGAGAAGTAAAAGACAATCTAGCATTAGTATCTATAACACAAATAGTTCCTATAGCATATCCATCCTTGTTTTGAGTAAATATCAAATAATAAATACATATAATATAAATACCGGAGTAATAATTGGAGCGCCTGCATAAAAACGAAAATAAGGAGGATCTGTCACTAGAGGATTTCCTAAAAAAAGATTAAAAAATGAAAACGGCTTATATTATACCTTTAAATCTCCAGTCCTTAGATGCATCAAGAATTACCATTGGATTAATGCTAAGTAATGTATGAGCACAAAATGTTACATCTCTATCAATATCTTGCATATTCAGTCCAATTTCAGATTTAAAATAACATCGATTCTCATCAATCAGTGATATCAAGGCAATAGGTGTTGAAAAAAAATTTCGTGCTGCAATAACTAATCGTTGAAGACGTTCCTCTTCACTTTTTTGATCTGATTTGTTAGAAAATGATAAAAGGTCCAAATCCCTATCGAATCTGGGAAGAATGTTATATCTTTCTAGCGCCTAATTCTTCGTCATATTTCAAAAAAATAAAAATAATTTCAATATACAGCAATACGTTCTGTCTCATTAAAAGGCCTTGGGGGGATAAAGTATGGAGTCCTAAGTTTTGTAGGAGGTGACGGAGGACGTGAAAGATTATACATGTCCTACAAAATGTTAAAATTCTTCGATTTTTGCCTTAAAAGACGTATAAATATACTTGTGCATATGCAAGAATAAATTGTTTCCATTTATTAAACTCTTCATTTCTATACTCATTTGATGTTGAAAAACTATTAGCTTCATTATCTAATATATTACATTTTGATGCATTTGTGTGTATGATACGTTTTTTCCTTTCTCTCCATAAAAATGTAGGTTCATCTCTAGCCTGTGGACGTACTAAAAGAGGTCGAATAACTGGATTTGGTGGATTTCTCTCTATATCCGCATTCCTAATAGACGAATATGTCCCTTTTTCCTGTATTTCTGGATGGCGTAGATTCTTTTTTTGAAACAAATTCCATACAGAACGTTCTTTATTTTCATTAAGAGTCTCAGATGACATAAAATTTAGCTTTTAATTTAGAAAATAACCTGTTTCAAAGATATTTAGGATAAATTGGCCTTAATTATTTAAATTTATCTACTTTTTAACCCGTTTTTAATGAGACTTCATCGACATTAAAATTGAAGGGTCAATTATAATTAAATAAGATGAAATAAAGCATTTCAAAAGAAAATGAAAAAGAAGAGAAATTTGAAGAAAAGGAATTAGTTGATTGAGTCTAGGGTATATAAAAATTAAAATATATAATTTGATTGTATAATTTTTTTTATAAAAAAAAAGTGGAATAAATAAAAATAATTAAATAGCAGATTATTTTTCAACATCCATTTTTTCAGTATTTTCTTGAGTAGAATCTTTTTGGATAGTATGATTTGAAAGTTCAGTATTATTTTCGCGAGACCTACCTTCTTGTACCTAGATTTTTTAATATAAAAATATCAACTTATGTTTAATTAAGATACCTCTTGACGAGCTTGTTCTTCTTGAAGCGACATTTGAAGCGCTAATGCAAGTTCTGGGTCAAGATTAGGATCTACGCCAAAATCAAAATGTTCACTCGGAAATCCGCCCTGAATATTAGAAGTAGAATGCATCGAAGCCCTATCTGTAGCAATTATCGGGGAATATAGAAGCTGATCTGATAATAAACGAGGCCCAGGTGGTATTGTTGTAAGATGTCTAAAAAAGTTAAAGAAAAAAAAAATACACAAAACAAACGAGTTGTTATCACTATTAATTGCTTCAATAAATGCATTTAATTTTGCTGTATTTTCTTCACATATTTCCCCGAAATAAACAAAATCAACAGAAACATTATTTTTTTTCATTTTCTTTGCTAATTTAACCAACGTTTTTTCATCTTCTGTAACTGGAGATCCAACAAATACAATAATTCTTTGTCTTTGACGTTTTTCAGGCCGATGTTTAAGTGCAAGCTGATTTATGTAAATTAATTATAAATATATTAAAAAAAAACACACATGAGCCACTTGAATACTCGTACAAATATTTGAGTTCCCTCCAATCTTTGATTCATGCATTGCTGCTAGAAATTTGCCATAATCTTGTGTTAATGTAACTAATATTTCTGGACTAAAAATTTTATTAAATACATAAAAATTACACAAATTAATACCCTTTTCCTCCCATAGACATTAACCCTATCATGTTTTCAGGATGTGCTCTCATTTTTGCTGAAAAAATCAGATTAATAGCATCTTTTTGAGATCCAAATCGTGTAGGTAAATAATCCCCATTTCTTGCAAATTCACTATTATCCATCCTAAAATTTTAATTAATAAACTTTCTAAAAAAATATAGAAATATAATTCTTAATTACACAATCATTGTTGCTTCTAATGTCATATTTTTAATTTAATATTATTTACAAGTCAGTTTTGCCGGCTTCGATCACCAGCATAATAGAACCTATATATTTAATAAATAAAGGACTTTAAACAAGTTACACTATCTGATGACTCTTCAATGGAGCTGGAGAGTCCTCAAAAGACAGCGATTTCTGATGTCCATTTAAAACAGTTTAAAAAAGAAGAATTATTAAGAAATTTAGATTTTGAATGTGAGATAAATATTTTTTAAAAAAATATATAAATATTTTTAGTAAAACAAAGACTTGAACAAATTGAATCTTACTTTCTATTGTTACGAAATACTTTACAATTATGTGGAGAAATGCGTCTTAGTCGTGTTCCACGAGCTATACGAAATACTAAACTTCGAGATTATTATAAACAACATAACATAGAAAACAAAGAAAACAAACCTGAATCAGTCTAATTATTTAGTTTTATGTTTTTTTTTTGATTTTTTATATAATTTTTTCAAATTTTTACAACTTGTTAAGTTGTTAAAAATAGTTTTTTTATATATATTTCTTTAGAATGTCTTTTATGTTTTTTTCTTATACAAGAGAATGAGTTAAGAGGAATATTTCTTGTGCTTTTGATTGAAATTTATTGAGAATTATCATTTGCTTTTTATTTTTTTATATCTAATTTTGCACTTTAAAAATACAAACTTAGAAAAAACTTTAAAAATAAATATGTTTAAGATAAATAGTAAACCATTTAATTCAGAATCATTAGTTTTATTGAATCCAGAGTGCTCAAAACAAGTGGCAATTAAGCGTTCAGAACCTTATTCTGAAGAACAATTAATTCATGGAAACTATTGGAATAATGAGATGAAATTTTATAATAATGAAGCATATTTTTCAGTGAAGAAGGATGAAAGAGAGTCGGATAATAGAGAATTACAAGAGTTATATCCATATCTTCCAAGTATTTTACTTAAAGATGTGCCAATAACGTCTTTTATTGAGGAAAAAGATGAGATAAATTTAACAGGAAAAACGGATATTTCGAAGTCATCATATTATGATCAAGGAAGTGGAGAGCCTATTCAAATCAATATGAAGCAGTATCATAGAATATTAAAGCGTAGAATAGCAAGAGCACGTATTCAAGAAATTTTAGGAAAAAGAGATCATATGAAACCATATTTACATGAAAGTAGACATAGGCATGCAATGAAGAGGCCTCGTGGGCCTGGTGGGCAATTTATTAAAAACAAACAAAGTTCAGAGGAAGAAATTATGAATGAGTTACAAAAAAATAATGAAAAAATGGACTAGAAATAAAAAATATCTATGCATTTGATACAATTTAATACATAGATGGTACTTATATTGTTTAAATTTAATGTTTTTTAATGGGAAAACTGCAGAATGATAAACACAAAAATTTTGTAGAATATTATTTAGAAATGTCATTGTATTAGAAATAGCATCCTTCTTATATTTATTATGGATCAAAAACATCTTTTATATCTAATTATTGATACCGGGTTTTCATAAAAATAAGTTTAGAATATAACGAATTAATATATTTTCTATTAACAGGGTTTATGTTGATCTATATATGCAGGAAATTGAAAGAAAAAAAGTTGAATATATATATTTTATGTGAAATAAATTATTTAAGTATAAAATTAAAGCGAATTATGTTTATAAAAAAACTTTATTAAAGATACTAAAAAATTGATAGAATTGAAACTTGTTAAATTACATATAATGTCTTATGTAAAACTATCCATTAGTGGCTTAATAAAATAAAATATATAAAATAATTTATTTTATAATTATTAAAAAAAGTATCAAACTATGTTATTTAAAAAAAAAATGAAGTTATATTGGAAATATAACAAAACGCAATGTTTTATGTGTAATTAAATGCTACGCTTTCTGGAAATTTAAATGAGCAACAGTACATTGCCTATATATGTGTTATTTAAAAAAAATACATTAATAATACCTTATTGGGGGAAACTTTTCTAACACAATAGACGTTAACATCACTTTTAGATAATTCCGTTCCAAGAGAAGAACTTAATTTCTAAAAATTAGTATATTTTTTTTACGTGAAAGTTAAATATTAACATACTGAAATTAAATCATCAGGAGGATCAATCTTTGAAAAACAATAGACATGTATTATAGGAAGAGAATTCTTATTGGAAAAAAATAAATGTTTATGTTCAGAATAAATTCCTTTAAACGCATCTATAAATTTACTAAAAAAATAATAAAATAATTAAAGAAATACCTAAAAATTCAATAGATGTTTCTGGTAAATTCATGACAAAATGCTTAAATACTTGAGGTATTAAAATGTTTTCAAATTTTGATATTTTTTTTTGTGATTTAGAGTTATTTTCATGTGAAATTTTAATAATCTTTTGTTTTGAAAAATCTAGTAGTTCCTGAACTGAGTCACGAATGAATTGACGGCCATCTTTACAATATGCTCTTACAAGCAAATCAACCTTATAATTTAGCAAAAATAATCTCTAAAATGCATATAAACCTTATTTAAAGATATGTTTTCTTTTAGGCTTTCATAACTGTCTGGATTTAAATCATTTGCAAAAACAATAGCACCTTTTTTGCCAGCTGGGATAGAAAATGGACCTACTCCAGCAAAAACATCACATATAGCATCTCCTTTTTGAAACAACTCGATTAATCGATTATGTTCATAACTAAGTCTAGAATTCCAATATACCTTCGAAAAATCAAATTTAAAAAGACAATTCGATTCACTATGTTGAACAAAAAAATTATTTTCACCTGCTAACACTTCCATCTTAAAGTTTCTAAATTTTGTATCAATAGTATCTACTTTATTTACAACTGTACGTATTCCCTTGTTTTTGCTAAGAATAACTTCACCTATTATTTTTTTGTATGGTAGATATTCTTCACGAATATTCATATGTGCTTTAATTTTTAGCCACATTTTAATCAATCATAACTCTTACCAATACTTCCTACCTGTGTAAAGCCACAAGGAACCTCTTCTAAAAGATTTTCAGGAAGAATTGCATTTAAAATATCATCTTATAATAAAATATATCAATTTTAAAGAATTGTTATCTGGAAAATATTTTACCTGAGCTCCAAAAATCATAATCAAGTTCCAAAAGATATGGAACAATAGAAATATTGTTGTCTCTTATAAATTTATATGATCTTTCAGTTAATTTTGATATATCTTAATATTAAATTTTTTATAATTATAAAAGTTATCTTTACTTTGTGCTGAAACCTCTGGTCTTAAAATAATTTTTTTAAACGAAGAATCTCCATATACAACTGGAATAATTCTTTTCATAATATCCCTTAAAATCTCAATATTATAAAGTATTTAAAGACCAAAAATACATTGAACATATTTTACGAAAAGATGAAATTAAATTTAATGGTACTACTGCTGCACTTAAAAGAATTGACTTCCTAAAAAACTGCTTATCCAAAATTTTCATTGACCTATTGATTGGAGGTTTTAATAAATCATTTTGATTTTTATTCATCATTAATTTTAATAAAACAAAAATATATTTAACAGAAATTATCAAAAGACTTTAAGTTTTATAAAAACATAGATATTATATTTAAAAAACATATATATTTAATATTAACAAAGTTAATAATAATGATTATTCTATATTAAACAAAATAATAAAAATATAAAAAAAATTTTATAAAATAGATTCAAGTACTGCTGTTACATTTATATCAAAAAGTTCACATCTAATTGGCATTTCCATTTTGTAAAAAGGGTTTTTCATAACATAATCTGCATAAAGCTCATATATTCTTCGCATCAGTGCATCTACGTTAGGTTGTTGAGGTTCTGTAATCAACAAAAACTTAATTCCTGCAAATAATAAAGAATAAATAATAAAAAATGCGAATTCTATATATACCTGTAAGCGTCTGAAAACATTGCAAATGAAATGTTTGGGCCTCTAATAGTTCAAGTCCACCTAAACCTGCTAATGGTGATACTTTAGCTGTAATGGCATGTATTCTAAAGAAAATTAAAAAAATACAACCCAACAATTAATATACCCATGAAAAATCCCTGCAAGAAGTAAATAATCATTTGAACCTAGTCTCAAAAGTCCTTCATTAAAATCCTTTTGATAAATAAGTCCTCCCGCTTTATTAATAATATAAAGAGAAAATATCATATTTCCTATCGATATCTATCATAAAAACTAGTTTTTATCTATTTAAAAAGATATTTTATTTTTTTTTGTTTTTAGCTTGTTTTTCATTGAAATTTCTCCTAAAAAAAGGTATTAACAATCATTAGGCTCTTTAGAAGCTAAATATTAACTGTTTTCTTATAATCTTTAACACTTATTTAATTTAAAAATCCTTTTTAAACCTATTATTGTGGTTCAAAAATTTCGAATGTTTCAATACACCGTGTAATGCCAGTAACAGCACGAAGACATCGCGTGCGTCAAAGAACACGATTAGAAGAGGAAGATGCATCTCGTTTACAGTTAGGAGAAGGTAAGGAGCGTTTAACGTGTTTTTTCCGCTGAAAAAAAGGCTTATAAATACTTTTTTTTTGAATAATAGAATTTGCTAATGCAACATGTTTATCTGTAAGCGAAGCAAAAATTATTTTAGAGGCAGTACTTTTGCAGCGTCAAAAGGAGCTCGGAGATGAGATTGTGATGACAGAGTATGTCTTTTTGTTTTTTTTTTTATTTTTTTGAATATTTATAAACAAATTATTTTTAGTGTAATAAGGAAAATTAAGGATTATCTTAATATTTTCGCGCGGTTTAGAACACAGGAGTCTGTACATGCAGCAGAAAGGTGGCTATATTTTATCGTCTATTTCATTTTTTTTCTGATAGAAATATGATTAGAGTCTTACGAGGAGATCCAGATCTTCATTCTTTCGAAACAGCACAGCTTGGAACACTTTGTTGTGAAGAAGCAGAGGAGGCACGTACTCTTGTTCCATCCCTTTCTGAAAAAAAGTCGGATGAGGCATTACAAACTCTTTTGGATGAATTATCTAATTTACGTCGTTTTCAAAACTAAAAGATGCCCGTTTTCTAGTAACTTCTTAATTGTATTATAAAGAATACTTTTAAGTGTTAAAACATATATGTTTTATTTATTTTTATATATATTGATAGAAAGAATTTAAAGACTATCTTGAACTATTTGATTTATTTATTTGATTATTTTAAATTGATGTTTATTTTTGGCTGACTAAAAATGTTTTTCAGAAGTATATTATCTTAAACTATTAGAGTGCTTTTATTATTTATATAATCTACAGACACGGCTTTTTAATTCTTAAATTTATGTATTTTACTATTTTTATGCAAGTCTTAGGATCTTTTTATATAAATTTTTTTAAAATAATTAATATATTATTTAATATAAGAAACAATTTGATTTATATTTTGAAGATATTAAGAAACAAGATTTATTAAAAGTTTTTTTGCCTTTTTATTATAATTTTTTTACAAAAAAAAATATAAAATAATGTAAATGTTAAAAATCTATATCATGAATCTGAAATATATTTAAAGAAAAGAAACATTTTGTTAATTTTTCAAAAAATGTTATCTCGAAACAAAAATATATATTTTTGTTTATCTCAGAGAATCAATAGTACATTTAGACTTGATTTTTAGTTATATCCTAAAAAATAATAAAATTCTTATATTAGTATACCTTTTATATATTTTAAATAATTTAAAGCTTTTACTGAGTAAATTTCTAAGAATTATTATATTTAATATGTTTTATAAAATATTTAAAAAAACAAGAATAATTATATTCTATTAAAATATATAAAATATTAATTATGAAAAAATATACATATTTTTCTTCAAATGATCAAAGTCAGGATGAATTGTCTTTTCTTTTTCCAAAAAAACAGAAAAAAAGGAAAAGAAATGAAAGAATTAGAAAAACGTCAGTTAAAAAAGCTAAAATAGAAGAAATTCATAAAATTCAAGAGAATAAAAGACATCATTTTGAATCTGTATCCCAAAATATATCTAGTTCTTTGTTTAATGAGGAAGAGGATGAATTGACTGGAAATAATGATTTTATAACCACAAAAACATTTTCTAATAAAAAGCATGGTAAAAGAGATTCAAGAAAACTTATTGAAATTTCGAATAAACACAAAGCAAACCATAAAGTTGAAAATATTTTTGATGGAGTATTTTCTAAAGCAAAGAAAAAAACAATAAAAAATACTACTTTTTTTCAAGAATCAGATCAATTAGAAAATATTAATATTGAGGAATGTATAGAAGTTGAATTATCAGAAGATGCAAATAAAAGAATGGATAATTTGGATTTTTGGTATGATGATGCTAAAATTTCCAATAAAGAACAGGATCCTATAGATATATTTTCAGATGATCCATTGACATCACCTTTTGCAAATACATATACGCTATCTGTTAAAAAAGAACATAAAAAGAGTCCTAAATTGGAAGATAGTAAAAATTTATCGAAAAAGTAGTTATAATACTATAGTTTTTATAATTAACAATTTTTAGTTTTGATGTTATCATAAATTCTAATGCTACAAATTACAATAACGAAAATGATTTAAATTTAGTTAGTAATAGATTAAATGACTCTTTTGAAGGATTATTTAAAGAAAAAATCAATTATGAATATGAAAAAAAGCAGGATATTACGGAAAGTAAATCAATTTTCAATAATTTTAAAAGTCATATCTTAGAAAAGCTTACTGGAAGAAAATATGTACCAATTATTGGGCTCGATTCAGAATATACAAAATTACGCGAACTATTATATCGAACTATTAATTCAGGTGAAAGTAACACTTGTTTAATTATTGGCCCTAAATCTTCTGGAAAATCTAATATTATTGATACAGCAATTGATAGTCTTAGTGAGTTTTCCTCTTATTTTTTTGTTGTACGATTAAATGGCATAATACAAACTGATGACAGACTTGCATTAAAAGAAATTGCAAGACAATTAAATGTAAAGATGAACTTGGATGATAAAGAAAATACAACAGTTAAATTTGTCTTTTATTTTTTGTTTTATATTAATCTTTATTAGTCTAGTTTTTCTGATAATTTATTTAAAATTTTAGCTATTTTATCACATCCTAAAGAACTTGATCTTGTAAATGATAACAAAACGTCAGAAGAGTTTGACTCATCTTACAATCCTTTATCCCCTAATAACATAACTTTTGTTTCTGTCATTTTCATATTAGATAATTTTGATCTTTTTACACAACATCATCGTCAAACTCTTTTATACAATTTATTTGATATATCTCAAACTAAAAAGGCCCCTATAGCTGTTATTGGATTAACGTGTTCATTGGTATTATTTTATTTTTTTTATTTATCTTTTTAATTTCTTTTAAAGGATTCTGTAGAATCTCTTGAGAAAAGAGTTAAAAGTAGATTTAGTCATAGGATAATTCAAATTAAGCATCCAGATAATCTTGAGCTATTTACTAAAGTTTGTCAATCTGGTTTAACTATTGATTACGAGTCTCCTCCCGAATTATCATTAAAAGAAAAGGAAATGGAACTTCGATTTATTAAGAGCTGGAATAAACAGATTAATGTATAGTTTATATTATATTTTTTTAGTTTTAACATAATATGTAGGATTTGTTTCAAGAAGGGAATGCAGTTTATCAACTTGTAAAAAAGCTATTCATGACTTCTAAAGATGTTAGAATATTTTATTCACATTGCATTATACCTATTATTTCATTATCATCACCATCATTATCAAATTTACAAGAAAAATTGTTTTTTTCTGAAAATTTTTTTAATTCATACAACAAAATCACTTATTTGAATGGTAAATACTGAAGTATTTCTTATAATTCATTTAATTTATTATAGGAATTTCACTATTACAACTTTCATTATTAATATGTGCAGCAAGAATTGATACAAGAGACGTAGATACTTTTAATTTTAATATGGTATATAAAGAATATTATGAACTTGTCACAAAGACTACATCATCATCCACCCTCTCAGTTATTAAAAACACTTCAATAAGGCTTTGGGAAAGAGATATTCTTCTTGATGCATGGGAAAAATTATGTAATTCTAATTTTTTACAACCATGCAACACTAATTTAACTAACATTGGTGGTTTGGATCGTGAATGTCGAATGTATCGTGTTGAAATTATATTAATGGATCTTATTTCTTATATAGAAAAAGTAAAAACAATTCCAACTATTTTAAAAAGATGGTCTAAAGATGTTGTTGCTTAAGTATTTCAATAATCTAAGATTTTTTTCATATTTCTATATTATTTTTTGGTATCAAACATAAACTTTAATTACAACTTAAATTTATAAGCGATATCGCGTGATTTTAAAGTGTTTTTTCGAAGTCTCCAGGACTTAAAAATATACTGTTTTTAAGCAAAAAAATGTCTTTAAATTGTATTAAGCACGGAAAAATATAGTTTCTCGTATTTTTTAAAAGAAATTGATGAGTTTTTTTTATTTATATATTTTTTTTTCGGATTAAAAAAGACGAATTTTAAAGTATTTATGATTAAAATGTGATAAAATCTTATTTAATATAATTATATTAGGATAAAGCATAAAATAGCAGATGTTTATAAGACGATCAAATTATGTTGATGCGTATTCTCGAATCAAGGCAGCTTCATTATCAGGATCATGTACAGTTTTAATTTTTGTTGCTCTTGAAGTTGATGCTCTTTGTGCTTGTAAAATGTTATCCGTGAGTGATTTATTATTGGATTAAGGATAAATTTATTTACGAGAAAAAATGTAGACAATAATGAAACATGATTTTATTTCTCATAAAATTCAACCTGTATCAGGTTATCAGGATATAATGGATATAAATCAAACGGTGGTTTTGAATAATGAAAATGTAGTATTTCTATTGCTTTATATTATTTTTTGATAAGAATTTCAGTTGAGGTTTCTTATATTATTAAATTGCGGTGCTTTAATTGATTTATCTCAATATCTTACTCCTCAAGATTATGTTACTATATATGTTATTGATTCTCATCGTCCATGGAATTTGGATAATGCATTTTCTGATAATAATATTTTTGTTTTTGATGATGGAGATATTGAAGAAAAACTTTCTGAAGAACGAAGAGCATATGAGGCATTGGCGGAGGTTTAATGACAACTATATTTATAACTATTTATTGATTCTTTTAAGGCAAGTGATTCAGAGTTAGAACGTGATGATGATTATGATGACTCAATATCTGATGAAAAAGATTTTTTTTTTGAAGATGAAAATTTTGAAAAAAGTAAATTAGAAAAACAGAATACATTAGTATCAAATAATAACCTTGAGGATCTGGTATCATCGGGCGATGCTAAAAACAAGGAAGTATCATCGGATGTATACATATTTTTATCTTGAAAATATATTTAAATTTTTTAGCCTGCCCAATTGTCTTTGGATTGTCCTGCAAAACATGATTCTCGAAGTGCAAAACGAAAGCAATATTATAAATATCAAAGAATTATTTCAAATTACTATGATTCTGGTACTTGGTTTGGAGAGTGCATATCCAGTCAAGTGTATTCTCTTGCGTCCGATATAGGAAGAGAAGATAATGAATTACTTTGGCTTGCTATTATAGGACTAACAAGTCAAGAAATTCATAGAAGGACAAGTTATAATAAATATTTACAGCTATACTCCTTATTTAAGGATGAAGTTAACCGGTTGAATCCTCCTGTTTTAGATACTAAAAATATAAAAAGAGCAAATGGAAGAACAGCAGATGATTCTTCAATTAAGGCAAGGGACGAGTTTCGATTTATGTTAGTTCGGCATTGGAGTTTGTATGATGCTATGCTTCATTCATCTTATTTAGGTGCTAAATTAAAAATTTGGTCTGAATATGGTAAAAAAAAATTGCATAAATTATTTGCAAAAATGGGGATTTCTTTGCAGCAATGTCGTCAAATATATACTCATATGGATATTGATTTGAAAAAAAATCTTCAAGAAAAATTGGATAGATTTGCCCCTTTGTATGGATTAAATGATTTGATATATCCGAGTTTTATTCGGACATTTGGTTTTAAATGTACATTAAGTGCTAGTGATGCAAGCTATGGGCTTAGTGCCCTCTTAGAAACAGGAAAACATAAATGCGAAAAATACGATCCTAATAAGGAAAATGAAAGACCATTAAAAAATATAGAACATGGCAATAAACAAGAGGATATGGTTCGAGATCTTTGGCTTACATATTTCTATGATGCTTTTGATGCATTGGATAAGTAAGCTTTTTCAAATATTAAAAACCAAGCTTATTAATAACAGTATTGATGCTCTGTATTCATCTTTAAGTGTCGCTATGGAATTACAAAGAGCGATTGTTCGCACTGGGACATATTTGATAGATAAACGTGCAATTAGACATTTAAAAGCGTTTCGCATTGCTGTTTTAAAAGAAGGACCAGATCTCGGTATTTTTACACATCCATTTGCACTTTCTAAGTTAGCAATATGGGTGGCCGATGCTATTAATGTGCAGTTTTATTGTTTATATTGCTTATGCAAATAATTAATAATAAAAATAGGAACAAGAACGTGAACAGGGACGAACACGACATCTTCCTTTTGTAATTGCATCTTTAAATGAACGTACTGATACATATCTTTTACTTGGGACATCTGTCTCTACATCTTCTGATGAATTAGAAGACAATGCCAGCTATAATAGAAATCGATTTGGTTTAATTTTTTCTCAAGTTGCCCAAGCTACTTCGGCTCGTCTTAAAATGGATGCTTTTGATGCATATTGTGTTGAAGTTTATAAACAAGATCTTGCCAACTTTCTTGAAATATTAAGCACTAAAATAATGTTTTAAGAATCATGTATCTTTCATTCTTTACTTTTTTGAACCTAACCCTATATTTAATTATCTATGATATCAACGACCTAAATTTTCTGATATCTAACTGATTTTTTTCAGAAATGGGCCAGCCTTTGTAAAATTTAATAATTGATCCTGGAAATATATCTGAATATTACTTTGAAGCTTTTATAAGTTGTATTATGGAGGGACCTTCGTTTAATTCATTGTTTAATACATGTGATCAAAAGGAAATGACAGTTCTTAAAACAAAAGAAAAAAATGTATGCAATAAGTCAATTGAGTCTGGAAAGATATATGAATTACAGGATAAATTATTAATTTCTAAAAAAGAGCAAAATTTGCCTGATTCTATGACAATAACAAAATTGCCAAAAGAAATGAAGCAGAATTCAATAAATTTAACAGGATTTGTCTCTTCTATTATTAATAGTGTTAAAGGTGCATGGATAAAAGCTAAAAAAGACTATAAGAAGTCTTTAAGAAAACAAACCAAGCTTCGGCATTTAAAGAAATACTCAAATTCAGATTTCTTAAAAGTCAAAAAGACTGCACTTAAAGCACGAAAACGTTTGAAACATGCTGAAATAGATAAAGAAAACGTATCATGTATATATACTGAGCCAATTACATTTCAATCGTGTGTTGAAAAATCGCCTGTTTGTGAACTTAAATCTCCTGATATACCTATGTCTATTGACATAAATGGTCCAAATTTAGATAATTCTTTAACGATTTCAGATTCTATGGATAAGGATCTTAAAGGTCCAGAACTAGTCAAAACAAATGACTTATACTGCTCTTTTGAATCTTTAAAGGAAGAATTTGAAAAAACAAAAAAGCGACTTCAAATCTTTGAACAAAAGTATGGACCATTTGAACAACTTTTTCCTAATGTCGAACACAAAGAGACATTGGAAATATTTAATACTCCTAAAACACAAAATCAAACAATGGTCGATTTGGCATCTTCAATTCCTTCTATTTCCAAAGATATTTCAACTTCTATAGATAATTTATCTAACTTTAATCAGACTAAAAATTATCAACTTTTAGATGAAGATCCTTCTCTTGAAATATTGTCACCTGTTATCTTACAAAATAAAAATGTTAGTTACAATACCGAAATTGCTTAATTTCTATTTTATGCTTTTATATATTATTATCAATCAATATTCATAACATTCACTTAAAATTTATAGATTATATTAAGATATATTTACTATACATATATTTTTTAAACAAAAAAAAATAATTATATTCATATATTAATATTCGCCCTTTTAAAGATCGACAATTAAAATCTCTAGAACATCATATTTTTTAAAGAATAAGAATTAGTTAAGATAGGATTCAGCTAAATGGTGTTTTCTAAGAAGATTTTGATTAAATATTTAAGTATTTATTTTTTTTCAGGAAGAACAAGTTATTTGTCAAGGATGTATTCAGAAGTTAATTGCACGAGTAGAAAAGGATTCAACAACAAATAATGAGAAACAAATATCTTCAGAAGACCCCTATAAATTGAAACTTGATCATGATGATCCTGAACATCCATTTATGTGGAATTCCAAAAAGAAGTTTTTTCATCTTATTATTATGCTTATTATGGTTTTTACTATGTAAACTTTGTATTTTTTAATAAAACTATTTTCTAATGATTTTTAGGTTTTTATCTCTTACATTTTATGTATATTTAATGATTGTAATATTTATATTGATTTAATAAAGGTTTCACATGTATTAACTAAACCTGAATTACATACACATCTTTTTTTATTAACTTCGTAAATACACTATAGGTTTTTAAATTAATATGACACTGATTTAGGATGTTTTCTGGATTTGCACTTGGACCATTTATTGGAGCAGTATGTTTATTTGATGTTATTTTATACATATTTATATAGTATAAAGCCTTTATCAAAACATTTTGGAAACAGGAAAATATTTTTAATTTTTGTTTTTATATTTACAAGTACGTAAGGGATTTTTTCTTTATTAAGATAAAAATATAAAAACTTATAGTTTTTCACATATTTTTTATAATGATATCAAATAAAATTTCACTAATTATCTTTCGATTTTTAAATGGATGTAAGTTAGATATTTCATAAAAGTTTATAGTTAAGGGGAAAGTATTTGGGGGTATAATTTTTAGTTCTTGTAGGCTTTCAATTTTCGATATATTTAGTAATGGGGGTTCTTTTTCAAAAATGTTGCTTCAGTCTTCAGTTTTGCTAGGAATTCACATGGGTCCTGTGGTTGGACTAGCTTTAGAAGAAAACGGCAGAACTGTATGGTGGTTTTGGACTAGCCTAATTTTATCAGCTATTATATTTGTGTCCAGTATATTAATATTAAAAGAAGCTTCACCTGAAATTATTTTAAATAAAAGAATTAAAAGATTAAGGAGAGTAACAGGTTCTTCGCGATTCATAGCTTGTATAGAAGACAAAAAGCCATTGCGTTATGTTTTTTTAGCATTACTTAAAATGTCATGGAGTAATTACTTTTTTTATAGTTTATGTTTAATTGATTAATATCATTATTTAGATATTCTAGGGAAGGATTTTATGCTTTTATTTGTTATTATTTCTAAGGTTATTATCTGGAATACTATTTTCCTTATATTATTTGTAAGAGGTGTTATATATTCTTTCATAATTGAATCAATATAGATTCATCCATTTTCACTGACGAAAATTTATAAAGGAACTTTGTTAAATTTTTTTTTATTATTGCTTTTTCATGTACTAGGCATATTATTGGCGACTATATGTTATAAAATTTATAATGAATTATATATAAAACGACAAAAACAAAATAAAATTAAGACAAAACTTCTTCCTTCTGTTATAATATACCCACTTTATATATCTTGTAAGGTCTAATTATCTCAATTTATATTAACTTTTTCTAGCATTGTTTTGGATGGGATTTACTACACATACTCTTTTTCATTATATAATACCAGTTTTATCTCATATTGTTATGGGATTTTCAGAGACATTAATACTAGTAATTATAATTTATCATAAAAATTACTATTACTAATTTATATACAGGATAGTCTTAATCAATATATAGAAACATCTTATTCTGATGATCCATATCCAGTAAACATTAATTTAGCTTTTTCAAAGTTAATCGCTTCTACAATAATTCACGCAATTATTAAAAGTTTGCTCATACTTATAAAAATAAATTAATTAATTAGTTTTAGAATCTCTGGTACAAAAAATAACTATTCTGGTCACAATTATCGCTAGTATCAATGTTTTTTCATATATTATTTCTCTTGGTATTTCTTTTATTTTTAAAATTAATAATTATTTATATATTGTAGTTTTATTTATTTTGGGGTCTAGTCTTCGATCTAAAATTCAACAAAATTGACTATTAATAACCTTATTTTTTTATAATTTCTTTAGAAAAGATCGATTTTCTATTCGAAATCAATAAAATTTCTATTTCAAATTTAAGAAAATTTAGAAAAATATTAAATGGTATCAAAAACATATTTAATAGGTATGTTTACCCTCGGTGCTATAAGTGGAGGACTATTAGGGTTTTTATCTTCTTCACAAAGATCGCCCTTAAGAGATTCTACATCAAGCAATCCTTCTCCTAGAGAAGCAGTAACTCAAAATGAAATTATAAATCCATCTAGAATATTTGATTTTTGTGATCCTAGGCCTGTTCATGATTTAATTGTTAGGAAAGGATATATTTCTTGTTATGACAGACAAACAAGAGTCCCATCATGGGTATATGATTTTATAGATTATAATATTATTTTCTAAATGGTTTAAAAAGAGTGCAACAGAACTGACATCTGAATCCTTAAAAAGTGGTAAATCAAACAGGAAATATTCAAAATTCAAAGAAGATGAAACTATAGATCCCAAATTTCGTGCTAAATTAAGTGATTATTTTCGAAGTGGTTATGACAGAGGACATATAGTAGAGTTTTTTATATGCAATTAATAAGCATTAATGTTTTAAGATAGCAGCAGCTGATGTGAGATTCTCACAAGATGCTCTTGATGAGACATTTTATCTTACAAATATTTCACCTCAAGTAGGAGTAAGTTTTTTCTCATTTTTTTCTACTATTTATAATGTTGTCTAGGAGGGATTTAATCGGAATTGTAAGGCTTATAACATTTTTTATTATCAAATATTAATTAGTTAAAGATTGGCTTTATTATGAGGAATTTTCTAGAAGTTTAACATCTAAATTTGAATCTGTTTCTATCATAAATGGTCCATTATATCTTCCTAAGGAAGATTCTGATGGAAAATGGAGAGTTACATACGTACAATTAATTGTTTTATAACAAACATAATTAATTATATTTAAGGAAATGATAGGAAACCCTCCCAATGTTGCTGTTCCGACACACTTCTTTAGCATAATATATGCAAAAGATAGTTCAGATGATTCTGTAGCAGTGGGTTCTTTTGTTATTCCAAATACTGCTATTGATGATAATACAAAACTTAGCGAATTTATTGTGCCTATTAATGCGATTGAAAGGTAATTTACATGTTTTAATATTGCCGTATTTCCTTATTATTTTAGGGCAAGCGGTCTTGATTTTACATATAAATTTGGAAAAAAACAAAAAAAATTATGCGAAAGCGTTGAATGTGATGTACAACAATTTATACGGGATACACGACAATCTTTAGCTTCAGAAAAGATATAATAAATATTAACAGTTATTTTTGATAATGTTCTTTTGATATTTTATAAAATTATTTTTTTAAATTTAATTAATTAATGTTAAAATAGTTATAGTTATATTTTAATTATTATTTAGTCCTAATGATTGCGCTTGTTTTTCTTTTTGAATCCTAGAAATATACGCGCGGCTAAAAATGGGTGACTTTATAATTTTTTTTATTTAATATTACCTTACAATATTCCAAGCGTCCATATATCTTCCTATACATTTTGAAATACAAGTCTATTAAATGATTAATAAAACAATATACTATTTAACTCTAAATTAGACTTGTTCTGAGCTTTCAAAGCGACTTCCTGGCTTAGGAATACAACGATCATAACAAGTTTCATTTAATTTCTAAGAAAAAATCTATTAATTCATTTTTTTTCAAGCTGAAAAAAAGGAATATACCCCAATAAGCTCTGTAGCATTTGCTACTGCTAATTCTTGTCTGATTACTTGCATTAAAGCCTGCTTTTTATCTTCCATTGGATATTTTTAAAAATAGTGAGGCTGGGTACGAAGGTACTTTTCATAGTATGAAGAGAAAGATAAAATAAATTCATATAAAATAATATAATTTTGTATTTATATTCTTATAATTTTATTTAATTTTATTGATATTTTATTATGAATGTGCTTTTAATTTATTAGCAGCCCGAGCTTTAAAATGTCTTTTGATTTCATAAGCAGCTTTTTTTAATTCTTCTTTGTCTACACCATCATCAATACTTTTTAATACATTTAATACAACATCTATGAAATTTCCATGAGATTTATCATCTCTAAATCTATAAAAGCGCCATCTTTTTTGAGAGTCACATATACATTCAACCAATCTGTATAATTTTAAATAAATAAAATGATGGTAGAAAATTTTAAACCTGTGGTTAAGAGGTTCGCCTAATGCTTTCATTTGTTCCCATTCTTCAGGACTAACATACATATCATACATTTCAGAATATTTGTTTCCGCCTTCCCAGACAGAAAGTCTAAATCTCGGCATAGAATTGTAATTAAAATCACTTGAACTATTAGGTAATAGTGGAAATTGCAAATTTAATAAAAAGTCTACAGAATTTTCACCGGGAGGTTTCCATTTTAAACTAAGAAAAAATAAGAAATATGCAAAAGAAATGAAAAATATTTTACAGAGTTTCATCTGTTCCACATGTATAAGGAGCATTAAGACATGTGAATATAAGTCCATCGTTTTTATGTCGAAGAGATGGAATAATATCTTTGAACATCATTTCAATTGCATATGAAAGCTCCATCTTTTTAAAATCAACTCTTCTTTATTAAATATTATTCATGATTTCCATCTTATAATTACCGAAAAGGCATTTTTTGTACAAAATCTGGATATTTTAAACAAAAATTATTTAAAGGATCCATAATATTTTCTTTTAAATACTGCCTTTATTACTTTTATAATCCACAAACACATTTTTTTACCCCAAGTCGTTTATCCAAAGGTTTATTTAATAATAATTTTCCTTGAACAGAAAGGCAATCAAAAACAAGACATCTCAAAGTTTTTATATCATTTTCATATTCATCTAAAATTAATTCTCCATCTAGTAACGTATCATTATGAAAATTACGAAATGTGGTATCATTTAAGACTGGAAAATGAAGATTTTGAACATCATAATAATCATTTTTTCGATCAATCTTTAAAAAAATATAAGATAGACCCCTCGTACTATAGAAAAAAGTGTACCAAATATATTTTTTCTGATATTTTCCCTAAGTTATTCTTTTCTGCTGTAATATATAAAAGTACACGAATACCATCTGATTTTTCACACAAATAATAGCTTTTTAACGTCATTTCACTGAAAAAAAAAGACGTATATTAATATACTCGTTATCCATAAGTGTTTGTATATGATTTTTTGAGAAACTGACTGGCTGTGATCCTAAAAAGTGTCATCAAAATAAAGTATTAAAAAATTAAAAAAAAAAACCAGGAAATGAATCATTTGGACGCTGCAAAAGTTGACGAACCTTATCTCTAAGGTTATACAGATCATTCCCTTGGATTTTGGTGCCAGGAATATATGAATAATAGTCTTTCATTTCTATTTTTTATATTATAAATTTTTATCGAGTTCAAGCGATATAGTGCAACGTCAAAATCTTTATAAAATGGAAAAAAAGACAAGAAATACAGAGAAAAGGCACAAAATTCTATAAAAAAACGAGTTATTTAAGTTTAATTATCTATTAGAAGTTTTGGATATTTTTTAAATTTTGAAAATCTGTTTAGTTTTGATATTTTGGGGTTTTCAGGGATTTATTTAATATTCTTGACTGATTTATTAATTGATTTTCCTCTACTTGAAAGAAAATACATATAAATTTATCTATCAGTGATTTTTTCATCATTTTTTTTCTTTAAAATTGAAAGTGGTAATAAGTTTTATCAAAATTTATTATGAATATTCATTTTGGACTTAATTTGTCAAAAAATAAGAATATTTCTCATAAGAATTTAAGAAGAAATGTAAATGCCTTTGTTTCAGAAGAAAATGAGGAGAATAATGATAAATCTTTTGAAAATTCAACAAAAATGGTAAATAAAGAATTAAGTTTATATTATATAAATTCAAGCAAGAATGAAAAAAATGAAGAAGAAATTGATTCTTCTAGTATGTATTTTTTTCATATTTTTTTCTTTAAAAAATATTTTTAGTTTATGCATATGATGAGATATATGATGAAATGAAGGAAGCACAAAAAAAGAGGAGAACAGAAACGGATGAGGATAAAGAGCAAAGAAAAGTGAATATTTAAGGGTCTTTTTTGCTTTGATATTGATGCTTTATAGCCAAAATATATGGATAAATTTTTTGAATTAGCATCTGTAAGAGAACGAGATAGATTAAGAGCTCAGGAAAAAATGCTTCAAATAGAAAGACAAGCAGAAGGCGATATGTATAAAGACAAAGAGAAATTTGTTACGGAAGCATACAAAAAGCAACAAGAAGAATTAAGTCGTCTTGAAGAAGAAGAAAACAGAAAAGAAGGTGAGTTTTGAATGATTTGATTTAGACTTGTTAATAAAATAAGCGTTAATGAGAAAAAAATCTAAGGGGATAGAGTCTTTTTATCTTAATATGCTCAATCAAGAAGAAGAATATCATAATCAAGTCATCGAAGCAATCTCTAAATCTCATAAAGTTTTAAAAACTGATGATGTTTCAAAAGAAAAGACATTGGAAGAAATAGCAAAAGAGTTAAATGAAAAAGGTATTAATGTAACTATGAATGATGATGGAGAAGTTGTAGACAAGAGGCAACTTTTATCTGCTGGACTTAATATAGTTAAAAAATCTACAAAAGTATCACAAGAATATCTAAAGATGCGAAAAAATACTCAAAATCCCAAATTTGTTTCAAAGGCTCATGAAAGAGAGAAAAGAGAAAAAGAGATATTTTTAATTCAAGAACAGATTAAACAAATGGAAAAAGAAAGAGAGGAAGAAGAACGTAGGAAATATGAGGAATTGGTTATTAAAAGTCAAAAAAAAAGATCAGCGGAAGAAATTAATAAGATAAAAGAAAGATATTTAAAAAGAAAAGGTAAGCTTAATTTATTGTAATAGATATTCTACTTATAATTTATAGCAGAATCCTTACAAGACTTTTAAATACAATTATAATTTGATAAATTTAATATATGGCTTGATATATAACTAAATTAATAGATATTTCTGTGGAAGACTTTACTATGAAAATACTTTAACATATAATATCCAATTTAGAATCAATCCTGTAACAATAAATCCTAAATAAGTTTGAGTCAATTTTAATGCAATTTCTTTTGATCTAAATATTATGTCTTGATACATCATTTTAGACTTTTTATGAAATAAGTTATAAAGACAATGATTAATATATTTCTTGTTATAAATATTGTCATCTCGATAGAATGCAGCAAGAAATACTAATGAAAACATATTTAAGATACTAAAAAGCATAATAATAGCATTAATATCAGTATTCTAAAAATATTAGTATATTTCTAATTGTTTTATTAAACAACAGTTAGCTCTTTCTTTTTATTGAAATTTAATATAATATGTATCACCTAAAAGTAAGCTTTAGATTAAATAGTTTAATCAAACATACAGATTGCATAATATCATTTCCAATTATTTCCATACTCTTACAAAATCCGAATATTGTTGATGCATTTTTTGAAATATATATAGTTAGCAGGACTAAAATAATAGATGACACACTCTGCCCGACAGAAAATAAAGTAATAAAAAACGTATCATATCTGATTGGTAATAATAGAGAGATGAAACTTATTAGAGACATAAACAATGAAATTAATACTTTAAATGTTATGATAGGGTAGATTTTTTAAAAAACTTACATATTACAAGACGATGACCATAATTATCATTGAGCCATCCTATTATGGGGTATAAAGCTACCTAGAAATTTAAGCCTATAACGAAATAAATTTTGGAAAATACTGATAACAATAAAATTGCAGATGAAATATCAGTCGCCGTAATATTTTTTAGAAAGTGTGTATATTCAATTTTGTTTAGAAAATAGATAAAAGGTGTCCTTAAAAATAAAATAAGATAATCATATATTTAAAACAATTAAATACGTACCAAATACAACTAGATAAAAAACATATTAGTAAATACCACCAAAAATAAATTGGCATCGTTTCTATGTTTTTAAAAATGCTTTTTTTTTTAAATGAAATGAATGCAATTTCCTTATTTTTATTTATTATTTGACAGTAGGTTATACATACTGAAAAAGAAAAGAGCGACAAAGCAGAAGAAACAATAAAAAGTATCTTTATGTGATATATTGAATGTTCACTAAATGTGTTTATGAAAAAAGAAGAAATAAAAGAAATCTTTCAAAATTAATTTTTAGAAATATAAAGCTCTACTCTGTACCAATTTTCCAACACTTAACATAATTGAAATATAGAAACCTAAATTATCTTCTTGAAATGTTTCAATTAAAAGTGTTTCTTGAACTATAACAAGAGGATTCATGCAAAGACTATATTCGCATAATCAATTTTATTTTCCATATTAAAATAATACTTCTACCCAGATACAAACAATCCTAAAATAACAATATATTTCCAATGTAAAAGTGTTGCAATAATAGAAATACATTGACTAAAAAATATAATTCCTGTTAAATATATAGGAAATAGTGATGTTCCTGCATCTAGATTTATTATTTTTTATATATTTTTTTCATGATACCATATTTTTCAACTAATAATCCAAATATTATCGGAATTATGGGATTTATTATTATAAAACCCTCTAAAAAATGTATCAAACATATAATTCTAATCATTTAATACTTATTAGTGAAGATGATTGTGTGTTTCCCTTGTTTAATCCCTTTACTTTATTATTTTTCTCATTTTTTTCTTATTCAAAAACCTCTTGCATAGTATATATATTCATATTAAAGATATTTTCAAAAAAGCATGAACCTGAAACGTATTAAACAGTTATATTTTCATCACAAAATCTTCTTTCCAAGTGAAAAACTTATTATCAAAAATAATAAAACTATTTTAACTGTTTGTTCACGTTTATCATTCAATTGAACCTGTGTTTTCGTAAAAAATGATGCATAGTCATTCTGATACTTTTCTTCAATGCAATCATTTGCATTATTTTCCTTCCTAGCAATTAAAAATGATAATTCAATAGGGTCAGCCTGTTTTCTAAATTTCATCCGTATTTTTTAATCGACAACAAAGCAACTGTTCTGGAATAGCCCTTTATAAAATACTGTAAAAAAATAATATATAAAGAGCGCACAGATCCTTTGCTTTTTTAATGAATATAATAAATTCTATATGATGATGTGTTTTTGGTATTAAAAATATTTATTTATGAATGTGCTATTTGTCTAAGATTATAAATTTATTTAAAAAAATGTCGAATTAGATAACATATTTGTCCTTAAATTGTTAAGAAGTATTCTATTAGATTCATTGTTTGATGAATGAGGCAGTTCTGTTCAAGATGATATTGTAATTTTTAATTGCTTTTTAAAAAAATGAGAAAAAAAGGTTAGAAATAACTAAATGATCTGAAAAACCCCCGAGAATACTTAGAACAGTCGTTTTCTGTATATTTACTATAAGCCTGTAGGAAAAAACATGATAAATATAATATTAAATAAAGATGTTCATACTTCCGGCATCCATTCATTAATTTTAGTAATACGGTTATCATGTGTAGGATGTGTACTAAACCATCTATAAAATGAATTTAAATTTAAAAAAATTAAAATGTTACTTTGGAGGTGTTTTAGTTTCTGAAATAGACATTCTTTTCCAAAGACGAGGAGCTTCATTAGGATCATAACATGCCTTTATTATGAATTATTACCCATAAAAATAAGATAAAAAAGATAATTACTTCACTCATAAGCATTAATCCTATATAGTCCGCTATTATAAATTATAATGTTGTAAAAATGAAAATAAAAGTAAAATATAATCACCTTCTGTTTCTAGTTTTCTAGAATTTGGTTTTAAAAGACAAATATCTATAATAGCCCGGCCTAAAATTGAAGGATCATAAAAAAGAGATATAATAAAATATCCAAAAAGAACAAGTTTTGTAAATGATAACTTTTCCGCTGAATGACGCGCAATCTGATGAGCCGTTTCATGAGCAAGAACAACTGCTAGACCATCTTCATTTTTACAGATTGGTAATATTCCTGAAAAAACAAATACTTTTCCACCTGGAAGAATAAAGGCATTTCGTTGAGGATCATCAATCACCTGTATATAATTAAGTCAATTCTAAATATAATTTAACTCATAAACATGAATTTCCCAGTCTATATCTTTTAATTTTGATGCACGTATTAATCGTATCATCACTTGTTGTACACGACGTGTTAATGGATGATTAGATGGTAAGATCCGCCCTCTATATTGATGTATAATTTGTCGATATGTTTCTTGTGATATTTTTTTCTCAAATTGAGGAGATACATCATTAAATCTTCTTCTATTTGATATTGGAACGTATTCTAAGATCATTTAAATTCTTAATAAGCTTTTTCTCAAAAAAAAAACCTATATGTGAGAAATAATAAACACCTGCTATTAATGAAATAACACCTAAATTTTATCTAAATAAAAAAATCTTATAGTATTTAAAAAAGAATCTCTATTTACCTGAAATGCACCAAAAACTTCGATTTTCTAATCCAAAACTTGTACGTCTAAAACGTTGATAATGTATATATCTTTTTGAAACCCAATTTTGATAAAATGCTTGTTTCTTTATCAAAATATATCTAAATTTTATCATTTCAAAATGTTTATCATCCAATAAAAATATACTAATAATTTTTTAAAAAAATACCCATTTTTATAAAAAAAATCACTTAATTACCCTTAAAAAGTGCATTTTGTTTATTATGAAATAGTAAAATTACTTTAAAAAATTCATTTTAAACCTATTTCTTATGATTTTCTTAGTAATATTTTAAAAATAGCTCTAAAATTGTTTAAAAAATCTATATTTTTACTATAAAAAAGCCTATTTTTTCTTATAATAGTTTTTTTAAAAATTTAATAATATAAAGATGTCGACGTTAAGCTTAGTAAAAAGTAATATTTTTACTAGTTTTTTAAGAATGATAAAATTCCAATCAAAAACATTAAGAACAAAAACCTTTTTTAGTTCCTATTTAAGAGGAAAACGTACAATTTTTACAGGTCTTTCATCATCTGAAAAAATAAAAGGAAATTCAGAATATGATGAATTATACCATATAAAACTGCCAGAATCAGTTTTTGAAACATATAATCTTGATCCTCTCCCTTTAGATATTACAGTTAGCAAGAAAGAGCTGATTAAAATGTATTCTGATATGGTAAGATATTTGAAAAAGGGCAAAATTAATTTTTATTAAAAAATGAATTAAAAAATGAAATAAAAAATAAAGGATAGGAATAATTAACTAATATTTCAAGGTAACAATAAGGCGTATGGAATTGGCATCGGATTTATTGTACAAATCGAAAAAAATCCGAGGATTTTGTCATTTGTATATTGGACAAGAAGCAGTTGCAGTTGGTATTGAACAAGCAATTACACCCGAGGATCAAGTAATTACGGCTTATCGATGTCATGGGTTTGCGTATGTTCGGGGCTCTAGTATTAAATCGATTATAGCAGAGTTATTAGGTCGTGTTGATGGTGTTTCTCGAGGTAAAGGTGGTTCCATGCATATGTTTTCAAAAAACTTTTATGGGGGTAATGGAATTGTAGGAGCACAAGTTCCAGTGGGTGCAGGAATTGCTTTTGCTATGAAATATTTGAATAGACCTAATACTACTTTTACTCTATATGGCGATGGTGCATCGAATCAAGGTCAAGTTTTTGAAGCCTATAATATGGCTAAACTTTGGAAGATTCCTGTCGTTTTTGGATGTGAAAATAATAAATACGGAATGGGAACTTCTGCAGAACGAAGTAGTGCAATGACAGATTATTACAAACGTGGTCATTATATACCTGGTATTCAGGTAGATGGAATGAATGTACTTGCTGTTAAACATGCGTCCGCCTTTTCAAAACAATATAGTCTCAAAAATGGACCATTAGTTATGGAATTTGTTACATATCGTTATGGCGGCCATTCTGTATCTTTTTAACATTTTTATTTTTAAATAACTTATCTATATATAGATGTCCGATCCAGGAACTAGTTATCGTACAAGAGAAGAAATTCAACATGTGCGTAATACTAATGATTGTATTTCCCTCCTAAAGAAGATAATGTTGGATTACAATGTGATTACCGAATCTGAATTTAAAGTTTGTTCTTCTTATTTTTTTTATTTTTTAATTCTTTAAGACTATTGATAAATCAATTCGATCCCATGTCGATAAAGAAGTTAAAGAGGCTGAAGAAAGCGATTTTCCAACACCTGATCCAAAAACTCTTTTTAGTGATATTTATGTGGTATTTACTTTTTTTTATCTCAAAATTCTTTCTAATTTTTTAGCCTGGATCCAATCCTGAATTTTTTCGAGGACGTTGGTCTGGTGAAATTTATACATCCAAGAGTCTTTTTTAAACTCATTAAATAACTTTATATTAGTTTTTTTAGCTTTTTTGTATTTTATTATTAAATCTTAATTTTTACTCTTTTTCTTCGTTCAAATTTTAACTTGGAAAAAATTAAGTCCTTAAAAATTAAGACTTTTTTGTCAGAAAATGTCGTTGAAAATGCCTAAAGCGTCTGGCCCGGCGCTATTTAAAGAGGGTTATCGAACTCAGCAGGGTGTAGAAGACGTTGTTATTCGAAATATTCATGCAATTAGCGAACTTTCTGGTTAGAAAAAGATATTTGCTTTGAAAGAGTTTTAATGGATGAATAGAGATTGTAAGGACTTCTTATGGTCCTAATGGATATAATAAAATCATTCTTAATCATTTAGCTGTTTGTGTTTTTTTTTTTTTTGAAATTAGTTTAAGATATAAACAGAAAATGTTAGTGAGTTCAGATGCATCAACAATTCTTGAAGAACTTGATATAGTTCATCCAGCTGCAAAGGTTGTTGTTATGGCTAGTAAACAGCAGGATTTAGAGGCATGTTTATACTTTTTTTTTATATATATAATTGGTATAGATGGGAGATGCAACAAATTTCGTTTTAATATTTGCCGGGGAACTTCTAAAACATGCAGAAGCACTTATTAGGATGGGTCTTCATCCTTCTGAAATTGAAGAAGGGTATGAGATGGCACGGGATTTTGCTTTAAAGACATTAGAAGGTTTTATGTTCAAAAATATTGAACGATATTGATAAATGATAGAATTATCGGTAGATAAAGTAGAAGATATTAAATCTAGTGATGAAATTTTGAAAGCAATTAAATCATCTATTTCATCGAAGCAATTTGGATATGAAAAGTTGCTTGGGAGTCTTGTAGCAGAAGCGACATTATTAGTACTTCCTAAGAATCCTTTACATTTTAATGTTGACTGTATTCGTGTTGTAAAAATTTTGGGCGGATGTTTGGATGAATCAAGAGTTGTTAAAGGGATGGTTTTTCCTAGAGATCCGGAAGGAATTGTTCGAAAAGCTTTGAAAGCAAAAGTTGGTGTATTTTCATGTCCATTAGATATAAGTCAAACGGAAACAAAGGGGACTGTGCTTTTAAAGAATGCTAAAGAAATGCTTGAGTTTAGTAAAGGGGAAGAAGTTCTTTTAGAATCGGTTATGATATTTATTTTTTTATGATCTTATTTAATAATGATAGATGGTTAAAGAGCTTTTTGATTGTGGGATTAGGGTTATCGTTACTGGTGGAGGTATAGGTGATCTTGTTTTACATTATTTGAATAAATATAATTTGTTGGTTATAAAAGTTTTAAGTAAATTTGATCTTCAAAGACTTTGTAGGGTCGTTGGAGCCACCCCTTTAGCAAGACTTGGTGCCCCTATGCCTGAGGAGATGGGATTTGTTGATGTTGTTGAAACAATTGAAATTGGTGGTGATAGAGTAACAGTATTTCGTCAAGGTAATTATTAAAATGATAGATACAATTGTTGATAGTATAGAAAATGAAATTACAAAAACAGCTACTATAGTATTAAGAGGTGCTACTCAAAATTATTTAGATGATGTAGAAAGGGCGATAGATGATGGAGTAAACCTTGTTAAGGCTATTGTCAAAGATCCTCGTTTAGTTGCTGGAGCTGGTGCAACAGAAATGGAACTTTCCAAACGGATTTTTTCTTATTCGGAAGAAGTTTCTGGGATTTTCCAATATTCAATAAAAAAATTTGCTGAAGCTTTTGAAGTAATTCCAAGAACTTTAGCTGAAAATGCCGGACTTGATTCTACAGAAGTTCTTGGAAAACTATATGCTTTTCACCATGCTGATAACAATTGTACAATTGGCGTAGATATTGAGGTAATATTCTTCTTTCTTATTATTCCGTTTTATATTTTTTTAAGGGAAATAATGATTTACCATTTGACGCTAAACTTGCTGGTATTTTTGATGTCTTATCTGTAAAGTCATGGGCATGCAAACTAGCTACGGAAGCTGCATTGACAATTTTACGTGTTGATCAAGTAAATATTATTTTTATTAATATTTTTATTTTTTTAATTTCTCAAAGATTATTATGTCTAAACCTGCTGGTGGACCTAAACCACCTGGTCCAAATCCAAATTGGGATAACGAATAATCTAATTTCCATCTATTTCTATTCTTATTTATCTCTTTAACTTATTTTCCTCTTAAAATCACCTTGTATTTTATATTATCTTTATATTAAAAAAATATCTCATCTTTTTAATTTCAATTAGTTTGTTATATTTTCTTCTTGTTTTTTGTTTTTTTTTTTAAAAAATATATTTTACCTTTTTTCAAGTATCTTTAATGATCTTGAACATCTGAGACTACGAAATTATAAATTTGATGGTTTATTTAAATTTTAAAAAAGTTTTAATAAAAGAATTAAATACTATAAATGAGTTTTATCTTTTTTAGTTTATAGGAAAGCTTTTTTATTTTTGTTCTTAAAAATATCAAAATTTTAAGAAATATTAAGGTTTCAAAAAATTATCAATGAAATCAAATAAGAAGGAAAAAAGGAAGTCTGATTCTAAATATCTTTATAAGGATATAGAGAATTTATGCGTGGATAATAATAAATCTAAAAATAAGCAAAGATTCAACCATATTTTCTTTTATTCTCGTAAAATACAAAAAATATCTAATTCTCATAAACACGAGGGAATGATGAAACAAGAACATGGTGGAATGGATTTAGATAAAAGCTGTGAGCAAGATTGTCTGGATGGGTCAATGGATCAATCCTTTTCAGACCAGATTAGTCAATATCTTCATGCACCAGCATCTCAATCGTTAAATAATCTTAATATGCCCTCAAACTATATGAGTAGTTTGGATTCTTCAAAGGTGATATTTAAAAAGCGAAATGTTTTGACCAAAAATACCCCTAGTATTTCGTGGAAGAAAAAAAAATCGACACAAAAACACAGAATTGATTGTCAAGAACATTCCGTATCTCTTTTATCAGATTCAATTATACATAAAGGATGGTTAAACAGAATGGATGAAACAGATCATAAGTTTTCTGGATTTTCGAACTCTTGTAATAATTGGAAACTTTGTATGACTATTTTATCTGGATCAAAATTATATTTTTACACTCCTCAAGAAATAAGTAATAGTTCTTATAACGTCATGTATTCATATGATTTGCAGAATACTTCTGATTCAATGGAATATAAATTTTCTTCGTCAGAATTTGACTTAAATGTTAGATCTATTCTATACGATACGAATAATTTACAAAGATTTTTTTTTGGTGTCATTTTAACGGAATTTGAAGGTTTTATTCAGGATTTTGAAAAGGATATGAATAGTATATTTTTCATAGAAAATATTCTTGTATTATGTTATCGCGGATCATTTATATTTAATAAAGATCAAGATTTACATCCCAATTCAAACGCTCATAATATTGATTTGAAAAAGTTATGGAAACTGGATGTCGTTTATAATGTATTTGACGTAAATATTGTATTTAATTTATTGAAAAATGTGAATTTAGTCTCTTCTGAATTATTTGGCGAGGATTTGTATCTTATGACTATCAACAATGAGGAAATAATAAGACGCTTTATTTTATCTAAGGAATCGGCTATATGTTTTTTGAAAAAATATTCACTATTTCAAAAATTAACTAAGAGTGTTGAGTTCTCAATTTTAAAAAACACTGCATTAACGGAGTTTAATTCAATGTCTATATCAAATGATGTTCAAGATATCTTGTTAAATTATGATAAGACATTAAAGGCTACTACAACTAGAATATTATTAGAAATTATGCTAGGAATTAATAATACAACGACTAATTTTGATATTTTTGAATTATTTTCTACCCTTATAGGGTTTTGGGATTCTTCTGAAACAATATTAGGAACTATAATATCTATTGTTTCTGAATCATTAGTAGATTTCAGTTCAAGCATCGAAAAAATGATTAATATATGGTGTGATAAATGTTATGGGATGTTTCAGGATAGTAATATTATTGATAATATTGAGAAATTAATAAAAAATGGAATTGATCCCAATAATAGTATTTTAAGTCAAAAATTAAGAAATAAAATTAAAAACAAAGAATTAACTCTAAAAAGTGATTTATTTGATCTAATAGCTATAGGTTCTCTTCATATGTTTTTAATATTTTTTAATTTTATTATAGATTTTTCTATTTATAAAATTTATGATAACAATTTGGAATTTGGATTATCAGTAGAAGCTATTTTGGAAATTCCTCCTGAGGTATTTTCACGTGAATTATATTATTTTCATCAACGTTTTCTTAATACATGGGACCCATCATTGGACTTGTCTTTATTTTTTAATAAAGTATCATTTAATTTAATTAGAAATCCCTTGATTTTTGGGCATCGGCATATACACTTTATTACTAGACTTGTTCTTGAACAACTTTTGAAAACAAATGATAAAATGTCTTCTCAGCTTCGTGCTAATATTTGTGCATATTGGATATCTGTTTCAATTTGTTTAAAAAATTTTGGAGATATGGCAGGATGGTTTTCTATTATTATTGCTTTATGTTCTCCTTCTATAATTCGTTTAAGAGAAACATGGACATTGGTTGATTTGAATTTAAGAAATTTTGTACAGAATTCCGCATCTATTATGAATGATTTACATGAGTTTGATTTTTATATGACTGATAAAACTATATATATGCCTGATACTTTGATATCTGATAAATTATCTAAGATTGAAATTTCTAAACAAACTATACCATATTACGGGGAAATCTTAAATTATATTGAAAATTTTATATCTTTCTATGTAAGCCTTTTTTTTTGTTATTTATTTTAACTTTTATAGGGCTCCAATAATAAATTAATAAATATAGAATTATTTAATGATATTTTTATTTTAGTAAAAAAAAAACTAGAGAGATGGAGATGCATTGTATTAGCTAACAAATCATTTATTTGTATTGGTGATGAAAATAGGAGTATTATCTTACAAGAACTATTTAAACAACTTAATTGTGTCAGAAGTAATCCACAGTCGATATTTTCTGATGTTTTCTTTAAAAAATCGCTTAAATGTGAACCGTTGAAACGTAGTTTATCTTTACAATTTGATTTTTCTCAAAATATTAACACTAAATCTGGCATATGCGCTTTTTTGATATTTAATTATATATATAACTCATGTAGTTTGCATGATTTTATGGATTTATCTGAGATTTATAAAGATCAGAATGTTTATACCGACATAGAAACTTATTCAATTACAGAAGATTCTTCTTTATATAATCCATTAGTACAAGTTTCCGATTTAGAGAAATTAAATAAACATTTGAAAAGAAGTTCATTTCCTTTCAATAGATATTCTATGCTTATTACAGATTTTGATTTCGATAGTAAAATTCGATATAAAACAGTAAATTTGAGGGATAAGAGTTCTTTAATTTCCAAAAATTCTCAAGATGTTTTTGGAGAAAACGAGAGTTTGTTTTACTATGTTGATGGTGAGTTGGTTTTAAGATCAATTCGGAATATTTCAGAAAAAAAAGGATCGAATTGTGTTAAACTTTCCTCTAAAGGTGAGTTGATATTAATTTTTTATATACAGGAACTAATATATAAGACAATAATATATTAAAGGTTTTTGAAAATGAGAAAACATGCGATAATGTAAACCCTCTTCGAACAATACTATCATATCAAGTTATTGTTAAAGCAGGATCTCTTGAACGTCTTATAGATGTTCTCGTTTTAGGAATAGATGATTTCAGTGAACGCCTAATTCATGAATCGAAGAATATCCAGCTTGATCTTTATATGAATACAGGAGATTTTCGCTTAATTTTTTTCTCTATATTTCGTTCGTTTTGTGCGCCATTTGTGAGTATAAAGAAAATAATTTAATATTGCTAATAGAAAGACTCTTCTTGAACATTTTAAGAAACGTTTAGCTGGTTCTAAAGCAATTGCATCAAGAATTGGGGTTAATATGAAAGTTTCTGAATATGCAAAAAATAATCGAATGTTTCCGGATTGGACTTCATCTGATTCTAGTAATTATAGTTTATTTAATTACGATTTTTATTTGAAAATACATGTTGGTGTGTTGGAATGCGTAATATTGTGGCTTACGCATTATTTTGATGATTTTGTTGATGATTTATCTATGTTGGACGGATTTTATTCTTTTTTAAAATTAGCCAATGATCAATTACAAAACTGGAAAGAAATTGTATCAACAAAAAATGAATTACAGTATTATATGTCTCAATATCTTGATCTTTTTGAAAATCTGAGAAAATTATTTGCTAAATTGTCTTATCAACCACAAATAGAATTATCACACGTTATATCTATAAAAATATTACAAGAAATAGATATTTCTTCAGAATATAGTGATGAAGATCTTTTTAATTTAGCATATACTCTCGATAGATTAACTGCTAGTATATTTAAGAAATTAACACTGGAAGATTGGATATATTGCTTTGAACTTTTTCAAGTTCAATTCAGGGACTTAGAATCATTCTTCGAATATCACGAATCAATATCTCTTCAAAATGATAATTATGTTTTACAAGATACGTATAGTTTATTAAGTCAAATTCGCGGATCTCAATCTCATGATTTACTGATAAACATGTTCCCTCATTCAATAAGAGAATTATTTAGATTAAGGCATAATATTATTAAATGGGTTATTAGTCAAATTACTGATATTAATATTGATTGTTGCACGAGAGTGAATCGAATATTGTTATATCTACGATTATTGGGTGTTTATAAATTAACAATGACTCATTTAGATTTCTTTTCTGGACCTTTTGATGGAAATGATTTGATCAAAGACAAATCTATGTTACCTTCATTTGTTGGCAATGCTATTGCTGCTGCTTTGGTTCGTCCAGAGTCTAGACTATTTATTTATGCTTGGTCTATGGTAGCATCTGCACGAGGTTTAAATGGTCAGGTGGAAGATCTTGCTTCTATTATTCCACTTGTAACAGTTAAGAATTCTTTTTCATTTACTCCATGTATTGGCTGGATCTTTCAGCGCATGTTAAAAATTGTATTTTGTATTCCGGATGTGATTGGAAATAGTCAACTCATAAATTTTATTAAGTATACATTTCTTTATGATTTCATTTTACGTGTAATTGGTTTTGGTAATCATGAAAACTTTGAAGTAAATCAACAGACTGATAAATGTGATAATACGAATGATATCATTGTTAATATTCGGACTCATGATTTGAGGACTCTTGAAATGGTTTCGGAAAATGAAAATTATCCCTTGCAGTTTAGTAATATAAGAAAACCTTTTGAAAGTTTGATACAAAAGAAAATAATCACGATTCAAAAAAATCAAAAACATTGTGGTTCCATAAAAAAGCATCTCGAGGGGCTTAATAAAGATATTAAACGGGAAAATGTAAATGTTTCCAAAATTTGTGAAGAGGATCATAAAAAAGTAGCATTAAAACATAAAGGTAATAATTCTTTTTGGTCATCTCATTCTAGTTCCATGTTTATGAATAACTCTACAAAAGATAAAGTTTTAGGCATGTATTCCGCATTTCCTCATGAATTTCCTTTTAATCTCCTTATAGCATTGGAATCTGAACCTTTAGATGTTATTGATTTGGTCGATTCATCAGTGAGTACTTTAAAAAATTCGAAACATGAATGTGTGTTTAGGATTAAATCAAGAAATGGAATAAAGATATTACTTCGCGCACCATCTGTAGATGAGTATAAAATATGGTATAAAAAATTAAAAGATTTAAGTGCAATTACTTTTAATAAAAAGAAAAATATTTTGATGAAAGATACACATGCAGCATCAGTAAATATTGCAGTTAAAATTCCATCTGTCGGGTTAGATTCTACAACTTGTAAGTGTAAAAATTGAAGATTGTTTTTTTTTGGTTTTGATATTTCTAAGGTTATGGTGTGGATTTGGAAACTTTGTGCTGTCGAGAAAAAAGTAATATTCCAAAGATTGTAAATGATTTAATTATCGAAATAGAAGCTAGAGGTAAATTGTTAAATTTTAATGTCCGCTTTTTTTAACATTTTTTAGGTCTTCAAGAAGTGGGAATTTATCGTGTTCCTGGCTCAGTTTCTAAAGTAAATTCATTGAAAACATTATTTGATGCAGGTGAAAATGTGGATTTTAAAGATGGCCGTTGGGCGGATATTAATATTATTGCTGGAGCTCTTAAATTATGGCTTCGCGAACTACCTGAACCCTTAATGACGTATAAATTATATCCTAAATTTATTGGCCTTGTTGGTAAAATCCTATATTTATTATAAAGGTTTAAATTAATATTTTCTAGATATTTCTGACTATCATAAGAGGATAATTTTATTGAAAACTCTTATTAGAAGTCTTCCTTTTTACAATTACTTTTTAGTTAAACGACTTGTCGAACATTTCGAAAAGTAAGTTCGTCTCTTCATAATCTCCTCAAGTAACCTTTTAATAGAATAATAAACTATGAAACAGTTAATCAAATGTATGGTATGTATGATATAATTGTTTTACGAAGTTTTCTTTTTTTCGTATTCTTTTAAATATTATTCTTTGTTTTTCTTTTATTTTTACTAATATGTCTTGTAGCACATAACTTGGCTATTATTTTTGGTCCAAATTTCCTACAACCATTTCCTTCTAATTATTCGTTCTCACAAACTGTTACCCATTTAGGAAAAGCTCAAGAAGTCATTAAAGAACTCATTATTCATCGAAATTCCATATTTTATGATCGTAATTCTTCTCAAATGTCCTTCCATCTTCAATCTGTATAGTTTGTATCTTGGTTGTTAATTATTTTTGCTATATTTAATATAATTCTCTTTAACTTTATAATTATATTCTTGAACGATTTGTTTTTTTTTTTACTTTCATATTTTTTATTTATTTTATTCGTTTTTTTCTATATTTTTTGGACATTTATACTGGATTTCTGTCGTGTTTAGTTTTTTCTTTTTTTTTATAGGTTATTTTATGTTTTATCCTATACTTATGTTTAATTTTTATCAATCAGATCACGTGGAGATAAGAGTCATGTGACTTAATTATATAACGGGTCCGAACTCTAACTTCCGACGGACAAATATCAGATGGCTGTTGATGTGAGTATGAATGACTTGAATATTAAGGTTAACAGTAACAGGCTCTCCCTGACATAAGTTTTGATGCAGAAGGTATGTTGAATTAGATAAATTAAACAGTATTTGTTTCAGGAAATATAAAAACATGTTAATAATTCTGTAAAAAATATTTGTTTCTATAGGCTTGAGATGTAGTTTTTGGATGATATTTCATGGATTTTTGTTATTGTTTTTTCAGTTTTTATTAGTATTTTTTTTATAAATTTTGACTATTTTTGAGGGAGGGGGGTTTAATTTTTATTGGGTTTTATACAGGAGATTTATCTTTTTCTTTGATATTTTTTTATTTTAATATTTTCATTCAATTTCTATTTTGGGGGCTGGATGTGTATTTTAAATTTTTTTGGTCTTTTTATTGCTTTTTAAACTAACTCTTGTTGGAAGAACTTAGGTATAAGCACAAATGTAAACAACTTAGGCAAAAAATTCGAAAAATATCTGCTGAAAATGATCTTCTTGCTGTTAAACTTGCAAGGATGAAACGTAGCATCCAACGACTTCGTCTTGAACGAGCCTTTATTTTTGAAAAACTTGAAGAGCGTGTTCCCTCGGCTGTTGAGGATTCTGATACATCTGATTCTTCTATTTCTGTATTTTTCAGTGGTTTCGTTTTAGTTTTGTTCATTATATTATAGTTTAAGCGTGAAAAGGATTCTCCGTATTCTGAAACTCATGAAATTTTACTTACACATTCTTCTGGGTGCGATATAGATTTTTTTTAGCTTCTCTAATGCTACTTTTAGTACAGGTGGGGCACGAAAACGACGAACTCGTGATCCAGATGCTCCAAAACGGTAAATGACGATTTTGATTATGTTTGTTCCTTTTGGAATTGATAGTTTTTTATGGTAGACCTTCCAACCCATTTTTAAAATTTTGCGACGTTGAAAGAGAGAGAATTCGGTCTGAAAATGAAGGAATTGATGGGTTTGATGTAACCCGAGCATTAGGTGTTGCTTGGCAAAATTTAGATGACGAGTCAAGAAAGCCGTATTATGATGCATATGAATCAGAAAAGAAATTGTTTAAAATTAAAATGGATCAGTATGAAAGTGAAAACTCTCGGTTAGGTCAAAATCAAAAATCTAAATCAACAAATAATCCAAATGTTCGACAAAAATGTTTTAAGAATTCTGAAAAATTAGATACCAAGAATATTGAAAATGAAAATTTAGATGTTAATAACGAAACAAACTTAGACATTAATGATTAATAATTTTCTCTTTATTATTCAATTTATTTCATTTTATAATTGAATCTTATATACTATTTGAAACAGTGATAATGTTTTTGAGGCTGTCTATATAATCTTTGTTTTTGGATAAACTTATTAAAGAGTTATTATTGATTCGAATTATATTATTATACTTTATTCGGGTTTTAATAACATTGTTTTATTCTTTTGAATAAAGAATTATTAAAAAATCACATATGTTTATTTATGCAGAAATTTAAAGAAACATTTATAAAATAATGAATGTTTTAATTATAAAATTTCATTTATATCTTTAAATATAATATAATATAAATTCTTTTTTTACCAAATATATTAATAAAATAATGTTTATAATCTTTCTTATTATAAAACAATTTTTTATAATAAAAAATACTTAAAATATTTAAATTACTGTTTTTAATTTGAATCAATTAAATTATATTCAAGTTGTTTGTCTTCTAAGAATTTTAAGATAAATCAAATAAAGATTATTTCTATATTTGATATAATGAAACAATTAGAAGATTCTAAATTTCAAAGAAATATTTAAAATGATTTATTATTTTGAATATGTTCAATATTTGATATCTGTTTTTTAAGAAAAATAGGTTTTATTTTGAAATATTTCCTATCAAACGTACAGAAAAATTTTCATAGGTTTTTCAGAAAATATTACCCTTGAAAAGCAGACTAAGTATTATAATTAGAAAATGAAATACGTCCTTGTAAGCGGCGGTATATTTTTTATAGGTTTTATTTTTTATTTCTAAGTTTTTTAGGTGTTATTAGTGGTATTGGAAAAGGTGTAATAGGTGGTTATTAGAATGATATATATGAGGTTTTATATGTTCTTATTACACATTTAGCATCATCTACTGGATTATTATTGAAAACGGCTGGTTTTAAGATATGTATTTTGTTATTTTTTCCTTTTGGTTAAATTAAAATCCATTACGTTTCTGCTATAAAGATAGATCCATATATGAATATTGATGCAGGAACTATGAGTCCTCTTGAACATGGTATATATATTTTTTTTTGAAGAAAAGGTTTATTTTGATAAGGCGAGGTATATGTTTTAGATGACGGAGGGGAAGTTGATTTAGACCTGGGAAATTATGAAAGATACCTCAATATTACTCTAAAACGTGAGAACAATATTACAACAGGGAAAATATATAGTCAAGTGATTGAAAATGAAGTGATATTTTGGGAAATTTTAATAAAATGTCTTACGATATGATAGAGAAAAGGTGATTATTTAGGAAAAACAGTTCAAGTGGTTCCTCATGTTACCAATGCTATTCAGGATTGGATTGAGCGTGTTGCAAAAGTTCCAGTAGATGAAACGAATGAAGAACCTGATATATGTGTTATAGAAGTTTGTGTATTTGTGTTTATTTCGTTTATTTATTATATATAGCTTGGTGGGACAGTCGGTGATATTGAATCATCTGCATTTGTTGAAGCAATGCGTCAATTTCAATTTAGAGTCGGGTATGATAATTTTGCCGTTATTCATGTGTCTTTAGTACCTACAATTAATGGAGAACAAAAAACTAAGCCAACACAAGCAGCTATTCGTGATATGAGAGGACTTGGATTATATCCGGATTTCGTAAGTTTAATCATTTTTTTTTTTATCTTATTTTGAAAGATTGCTTGTAGATCAGTAAAGCCTTTAGAAAAATGTGCTATAGATAAAATCGGAATGTTTTGTCATGTTGGACCAGATCAGGTTTTGGTAATACATGATGTTTCATCAACATATCATGTTCCTCTACTTCTTGAACAACAAGGAATAATTAAGTCACTTTCAAAACGATTAAAATTAAATGATATTATTGTTTCAAAAAAGCTAATTGAAGCCGGCATACAGCTTTGGACACAATGGAGAATGCTTACACAACTGTATGATACATATTTATTCCATTTTTAATGTTAATATATCAGGTATGACCATCTTTTTACTGATATATCAGTCGCAATAGTTGGGAAATATACAGATCTTCAAGATTCATATATATCTGTAGTAAAGTCTCTTGAGCATGCAGCACTTAAATGTAACAGGAAATTAAATATATTATGGGTAGAGTCTTCGGACTTAGATGATGAAAAAAAAATATTAAATCCAATTATTTACCATAAGGCATGGCATTCCGTTTGCTCAGCGAAGTATTATACCTGTTTAGTATGTTTTCTTGTTTAATCGTTAAAGCGCAATTCTTGTCCCTGGTGGGTTTGGTGTACGAGGGACTGAAGGAATGATTGCTGCTGTAAAATGGGCACGGGAGAATAAAGTACCATTTCTTGGTGTTTGTTTAGGTTTTCAAATATCTGTAATAGAATTTTCGAGAAATGTTTGTAATCTTAAAGGTATTTTGTTATTTATTTTGTTTTTAGCATTTTATAATCTGAGTCTCCAATATATTATTTGTTATTGAGAGATATTTAAGGAATGCTAGATTGATTTTGTTCAATTATTTGTACACTTTTTATTCATAATTGTATACATTGTCACTGAACTAACATAATTTATTTAGATGCACAATCAACCGAGTTACAAGAAGATGCAAAGATTCCGGTTATTATTGGTATGTCAAAAACAAATGGAAATTATGGAGGAACTATGTGTGTAGGTCTTAAAAAAATATTTTTTCAGGATTATTGCTGGAGCAAAATAAAGAAATTATATAATAAAGAACTCATAAATGAAAGGCATCGACATCGATATCAAGTAAATATACAATATGTTAGACAATTAGAAGACGCTGGTTTAAGTTTTGTTGGAAAAGATGAATCAGGGACAAAGATGGAGGTTTTCGAGCTTAAAGATCATCCTTATTTTATTGGTACACAATATCATCCTGGTATGTTATGTTTTTTATTTAATTTATTTATGAATAATTATGTATAGAATATTTAACAAGGCCATTGTTTCCATCACCTCCATATCTAGGATTAATTGCAGCTAGTTGTGGCATTTTAAACGATATTTTAGAAAAACAATCAATATAGTATTTTTAAAGATTTTTAAAAAATACGTTTCATATAGTTTAATATCATATGTTTAAATCATTTATAATATGATATATTAGTTATTTTTTTCGAATTCTATATTGTAGTTCAATATTGTAATTGTTATTTTAAGAAAAAAAACTATTTTAGTTTTAAATCACAATTATTTTATAATATATATTAACCTATTTATTTTATTTTAAATAAGGATATTTCTTTAATAGTATATTTTCATATTGTCTTGCCTCCTCTGCTATAGTTCCCCCCTGTTTTTGCGCTTCTCTTATCCAAAATAATGATTTATTAAATAATCCCTCCTGTTCATATAATCTTGCTAAGTTTATTTGACTTGCCTGAAACCCTGAAAATGCTGCAACTTCAAACCATTCTTTTGAAAATATTGTATTACCCTCTCTTCTGTATATATCAGCTAAGTTGTGAGCTGCTTCAACAATTCCATTAGATGCTGCTTGTAAAAGATAATATAAACTTTCTTCATGAGTTGTATATAAAGACCTTCCAAAATGTCCCTTAGGGTTATCTATCTAAATAAATATCACATAGTTTTGAATCGCTGAGTCCTTACTTAATTCAGAAGCACGTATAAACCAGAATTTTGCTTCTGCATCTTTCCCCAGATGTCTTTTAAGACCAGCCATAGCAACCATGGCATCAGAATTCCCTTTTTCAATAGATTTAAGATAATTTTTTTCTGCCTGCTGGGTATCTTTTAGCTTAATAGCAAAATCCCCAAGAATTAGTAATGCTTTTGCATTTCCTTTTTTAGAAAGAGTTTTATATATACGTAAAGCCTGATATATTTGATCAGGAGTCCCTAATTGCATTTTTTTCTCTGCAATATACAAAGTTGCCAAATCGCTTTCTTTCAATGATGCTATTTGGATAGAAAATTTGCAAAGATCTAGTTTTTCTTGTAAGATTGATTTAGATACTGGTGTTTTTAACATTATTTTTGTTATTAAAAATAATTCATCTGCTGTAACAAGAAATGGAATGATTTTCCCTACACTTTCAACTAATTCAATGTTCTCAGCTGTTAAAATATCTCTGTTAAATTTATTTTTTAGTTGATTCATATGTTTAAAAATATTTAATATTTCAGAGTAAGATTTCTTGATATTTTTTCGTTTTTTTTCAAATATGTATAAATCTTTTTCTCCAATTATATCCTTTATATAATCTATTTCATTATTTTTATATAAAAAACTTTCACTATTTCTCTGATTATATTTTACTTGAAATATAGATATATTTCGAAAAAATGGCTCAAAAAAAACAATATTCTTATGTTTTCTTCTATACTCATTAATATAGTTTTGTATTAAGTCTTTTCTTAGTGTTTTTGGAAACATATACATATATTATTCTTTATTTTTTTCTAAAAAATAGAAATCGTCAAAAATGCCCCTATTTAAATGAAAAAAAAAACCATATATGAATTACACCATATATTTTATGTTATTTTATATCTTTTTATTCTGTTTTTTTTTCTCTTTTGTACCTTTATTTATCTCTTTTTATTTTAACTTTGTTATCTTGACGTTTCAGGCAACATGGTTGCCATGGCAACCATGACATCTTGGTTCTTTCACCGTAAGAAACCTTTAGATTCTTAAGAATGAGCTTAAAAGCATATATTGTGCAGCAGTTTAGGGAGATTATATGGTATTCCTTAGATAATGGGCTATTATCAAATGCAACATTCATTGCAGAGAGGCTTTACGTTTATGATACAAGCAATGCAGATGCAAAACATCTTTTTTCTCTGTGTTTACTAAGATCAGGACGATATTTAACGGTTTTATATATGACAGAGGGTGTAAAACATGTTGGTTGCGCGTATATATATGCTCTTGCATGTTTGCAACTGGGGAAATGTAAGCAAGGAATTGCAGCATTAGAAGCAGTTTCGTCTCAATGGACGAAAAGTAATTATATGTGTATGAATGAGTTTTAAGGGATTAAGAGATCTTCTAACGCCTTTGAAGATCAGCATGATGATCTGTATCGTTCTCATTTACCTGATGCAGCAGCAATTTTTTGTCTTTTAGGGCATTTGAGTAAGAAAGGTGGAATGATGAAGAAAGCAACGGACTATTATATTTGTTCAGTGAAATTGAACCCATTTCTTTGGGAAGCATTTGATGGACTTTGTGCATTGGGTAGATTTTTGGAAAGAAATTAATTTGTGTATAATAATATTTATATCTAGGATGCAATCTTCATGTGAAAAATATATTTAAAGCGACAGCGGGAATGCAGGCAGCGCGTTTAAAAGCACAAAATATCCCTGTTCAGACAAATATCTTGAAAAATATGGATTCCTATATGTCTCAAAATATTGATACAGAGGCACAATCGATGAATCATACGGTTCAGACTCCTGATATATTTAATTCTCAGAAAAATCATACACCTCCATTTGCATCTCATTGCCAACAGTCCTCGTTTTTAGATCGTTTAGAAATGGTGGAAACTCCTGGGTATTTAGTATAATAGTTTTATGAAAATAGATAATTAATATACTTTGATAGATCTCCAACACAGCAAGTAGATTCGTCTGAAATAGCTCATGGTTTCTTAGACCATTCTATTTCTACTTCATCTAGTTTTATTAGTCCTCCTAATTTTTTAGATACTAAAATTCGATTAAATCAAACTAAAGCAAATCCTACGATTCGAAGTAATATTGATAAAGATCTTCCTGTATGTTTTTCTTTTTTCTTGTTTAAAATATTAATTTCAATATATAGAAGAGTTCTACCCCAATTGATATTCCCCAAAGAAGAAGTCAGCGTCATTTACCTAATGCTTCAAAAATTGCATCAAAATTAGTATCTACAACATCGTCAATCAGAGACAGTCGAAAAAATAAGTCACAAAATAGTCGTTCAAAGCAAGAGGAAATTCCACAATCTTCAATAATTCAAGTAATTTTTTTTTAAAAAAAAAAATATTTAATATTATTAGATACCTGGCTCAAATCAATCTTGTTTTCAGTATGGTCAAAAGCCAAATGGTCAAACTGTCATGTCTCTTGTAGAGCGAATTGAAGCAGAAACATGTTTATTAGATTTATGCAAATCCATTGCTGATGGATGTCATGCTCTTGCTAAATATGATGGAGCAAAGGCCATTGAATGTTTTAAATCTTTACAACCTGCTTCTCAACGTAATTCTGTTTTTGTTCTTAGTAAAATCGGTAGAGCATACTTTGAAATGGTGAATTATGATGAAGTATGAATCAATCGTCTTTGTTCTTTACCTTATTTTCTCTTATAGGCTGAGAAATATTTCTATCGTCTTCGAAAAGCTGATCCTACAAGGGTAGAAGATATGGAGATATATTCTACTGTTCTTTGGCATCTTAGAAAAGAAGTTGAATTAAGTTTTTTGGCTCATGAAATACTTGATTTAGATCGTCTTGCTCCCCAATCATGGTGTATTATTGCAAATTGTTTTAGTTTACAAAGAGAACATGATCATGCATTAAAATGTATTCGCAGAGCAATACAGTTAAATCCAAATTTCGCATATGCATATACTCTTGAAGGGCATGAATATGTTGCAAATGAAGAATATGAAAGAGCACAAACATCTTTCCGTAATGCAATGAGGGTCGATATGAGACATTATAATGCTTGGTAAATTATATAGAATTGTAAGGTTTTTTTCATGTAAGTAGGTATGGAATTGGTATGGTATTTCTTAGAGTTGGTAAAAATGATCTCGCGATGTATCACTTTAGGAAAGCTGCAGAAATAAATCCGACTAACGCTGTTTTATTATGTTGCATTGGCATGGTCAGTTTAATTAATATTTTTATATGCATATTTAAAGCACTTAGATCGTGGAGCGCAATAAAGATTTTCCTGAAGCATTACAATTATATAAGAAGGCTTCCGAACTTGCGCCAACTAGCGCTCTTGCCAGATTTAAGAAAGCTAAAGTTCTTGTTTGTCTTCGACAATATCATGTACAAAAATCTAATTATTATAAATTTTACTAATTTTTTTATAGTTAGCTTTAAAGGAATTACTTTTTTTAAAAGATTTGGCTCCAGATGAAGCAAATGTTCATTTTCTCTTGGGAAAATTATATAAACAATTAGGAGATAAACCAAGTGCAATGAGACATTTAACAGTTGCTCTTAATCTTGATAATAGAGCCAGTCATTTGATTAAAGAAGCTATTGGTATCTTTTATATTTTTAATTTATCTTATTTAATAAATCTAGAATCTATTGATGAGCCAGAAGAAAATTTGCTTGGTGAAACGGGAGAGGTTTATAAAAATTTAGACAGAGAAGAGTAAATGTGAATACATATATATTCACTATAAACTATTAATCTTCGTCATATTTAATCTTAAATATTTCGTCAATAATACTATTCAAATATAATTTGTGGTTTTAAACATAACGGGAGATAATATTCATAAATATTTTGTTCTGTCTTATTTTTAAATTTATAAATCTAACTGATAAAAAAATTCTAAATTAGTTTATCCGAAATAGCTGCATATTTTCTATGGCAATTCTATTTTTCAAATCCATATTATATCATACCCGGTTTTGGGCAAAATTGTTGTTATATTACTGGACTTTATTTATATCAGCATTTTCCGGTGTTGTTTTATCGATTATTTTATTTGTATTAGGTAAATCTAATATCAGCCAATGGGGGGTTGCACGTATTTGTAATACAATTTCTGCACCAGCTTTAAACTTGAAAATACATGTTGAAAATGAGCATTTTATGAGGGTTAGACCATGTGTTTTTATATCTAATCATCAAAGGTATTGAATTTTTTTTTTATGGGGAAATTTTTTGATAAATGAAAGTGAACTTGATATTCTCTTGCTTGGTCGAGTATGCCTTTATTTTAAGAGAAAAAGCGCTTATTTATATGTTTCTAGTTATTTCCAAAGTATTGCAGCATTGTTTCAAAGAAAAGTTTAAAATATGTTCCTTTTTTGGGCTGGTTTAGTAATTTTAGTATATTAATGATAATTTTTTGATGAATGTAGTGATTCTTAGCAAAACAATTTTTATTGATAGGGCAAAACGGGAAAATTCCATTAAGATATTTGAAGAGGTTTCTGGACAAATCAAGGCTAACAAGGTAAATGTGAGACATTGGTTAATCATTATTAAATTATCAATTAAAAGCAAAGTGTATGGATTTTTGTTGAGGGAACGAGATCAGGATTTAAAAGTCCTGATCTTTTGCCGTTTAAAAAAGGGGCATTTTATTTAGCAATACAGGCTAAAATACCCATTGTTCCTATAGTGATTCAAAATTATTCTCAAATCTATCATTTTAAAAGTCGTATTTTTCAACCAGGAATAATTAAGGTTAAAGGTATGATTACACCTTTTAGATTTATTCATTCATGCATATGGTTTATAGTTCTTAGCCCTATTGATACAGCTTTTTTTTCTGAATCTGATGTTGATCGAATTGTATTAGAAACACGTGAAAAAATGCTTCAAACTATTATAGAATTGAATTAATTTTTTTAAGAAGTTGTATATAGTAGCTTGTTTTTTTTCTATTTATATTGCATTTAAATAGGTTAATATGTCTTGATATTTATATATACAATCTCATCTTTAAAGGTATTTTTTCTTTTATCCTGAGCTATTTTTTTATATTTTTTATTAAAATATATTGAATGGTGGTGATGAAAATATTAAATATTGATAAATAGAATTTGTTTTTATTACAAACAAATCTATAGTTTCCAAGATAATTTCAAGATATAATAGAAATTATAGAAATATTTTGAACTTTATTTATTTTATGAAGGTTAAAGAGAATGAAGTTATTTATAGAAGTATATGAATCTTATTAAGGGTTATGGCCGATATTATTGATCTTGTGTCATAAAAAGCAACAAATTTTCTCTACTTTTTTTTAAATCTATTTGTAGTGTAACTTAAAGGTTTTAAAGTGGTATTTATCTAGATGCTTAGCTATGCATTTTATTCTTTGCTAATTATGAATAGCTTAATAGAATAATAAAAGGTTCTATTTTTATAAACCTTTATCATTATACAAAAAAGAAAATCAAAAATTATAGAAGAATAAATTTATTTAAAAGGAACCATAATAAAAGAAAAAATCATTGAATAGTAGACAGAACTATGGTATATTTTCTAAAAAATGATGATTTATCTGTAAGTTATTTGTTTAAATATTGTTTTTATATTTTTAATTTAATTAGTATATGCTTTTAAAGAATTGCTTGGATATTTATCAAGAATATATTATTGGGATTTTCACTTGCAATTAATATTTTTAAGTTCTCTGAAAAATATTTTCTATTATTTAATAATATCTAATCTGGGATATTTTAAATACTAAAATAATACAGAATATATGGAATAATAAAGGAATCCTGAATTAATATCATTTTTAATGTTTTAGATACCTTATTTAATACAAATCTTTTTACACATTAAAAATGATATTCTCGAATTAAATTTTTATTTTAAAAAATAAATTAAAAAATATAATATATATTAGGGAAACAACAAGGTTTGGCTGTTTTTTTTTATGGTTTTCATATTTTTACATAGATATTTAGTCTTTTCATATGTATATCAGCTGAGTTACTATGGCAACCGATAACAATGTTTATTTTTTTTATGAAAACTTCAAAATTTTAAAATATTTTCAACAATTTTTTTTCTTAAGGAATGAATGAGCTTGATATTAATAAGAATAAGAAGGTTCAGAGAAAAACATATGGAAAAAGTAGATATTTTGGGGATACTTTTGAAAATTTTAAAGTTTGGAATGATATAGGAAATTCACCAAATTTAAAAAAAAAAGATAATAAATGTATAAATACGCCTGAAAAAGGAAAGAATGAATCATCCTTTTTGTCACGTATAAGATTGCCTCAGGAATATTTTGGATCTTTAGTAAAAGATGCATCTTTTTTATATAAGATATCTGTTAAACAAAATTATGAGAAATCTCCTATAATTAAGTTTAAAGAGCCTTTTCAGTGTCAAGAAAATATTATGTTAGATACATTTTCGTTCAGCGGAAAGGATGATTTAGAAATTGAAGAATCTATAATTGAAAGTTTAGAAGATAATATTAACTTAAATAAAGATTTTATAAAAAATGAAGTCAAAAAAGAGTCTTCTATAATAGGATCTCTACTTTCTTTTGCAACTCAAACAAATGTATATGAATTTTCTGATTATATTTCTTCACTTTTATCTAAATATTCTATATCAAAACTTGGAGAAGCGTCTTATAGTGAAGTTTATCTTATAAAAACTGAAAATTATGATGAGACTGTTCTTAAGATTATTCCTTTTGGGAAGGAAGGTCAAATAACTTCACAGGAAGTTTTACATGAAGTAAGAGTTACTACAAAAATGTCATCAATTGATGGTTTTGTAAAATCAAAAGGGTATTTTTTTAATTATAAGTTCATTGGTTTTAATTGTTTTTTTAGTTTTGTTATTGTTAAAGGAATGTATCCTGAACATCTTCTTTTTTTATGGGATAAATATAATGAAGTTTATGAATCAGAAAATTCTCGACCTGGTATATTTAGTTTTTAGTTTGTAATTAGGTTCTTATTTTTTTAGATTCTTATGATAAAGATCAATATTTTTGTATTTTATTACTTGAAAAGGGAGGAAAAGATTTAGAACATGTTAATATTACGACATGGAGACAAGTTAATAGAATATTTTGGGATATAGTAAAGGTTTTTTCTCAAGGAGAAAAATTGTATGAGTTTGAACATCGAGATCTTCATTGGGGAAATGTCTTGGTTGATGATATTTCTGATTCATCTGAAGATATGTTATCCCAACTTAGTTTGAATTCTGCTTGTTTTTCACAACCATGTATTATTATTATTGATTATACTTTTTCTAGGTTAAGATGTGATGACAATATTGGGGAGTTAACATGGAATAATTTTGAAGATCATGAAATTTTTGAAGCACATGGTAAATTATTTAATATTGTTATGAAATAATAATATGTTTATAGGGGATTATCAATATGAAATATATAGATTAATGAGAGATTATGCTAGTTCTTCTAAAAAGATGTGGTCAGATTTTATTCCGCGTACAAATGTTTTTTGGTTACATTATTTAATAGATAAGCTTATTCACTGTAAAGGTCTTGTACGTCCTCCAGCAAGGATGTCAAAAAGGAAGAATTCTATACAACATGCCTATACCGAAATAGAAAGAATGTTTTATGAAAGAGCTGAGCTTATATGGAAAATGATCAATCCTAAAAAAAAAGGATCTGAAAAAAAATCAATTGAATTTAATTCATCAGAAGATGTACTATCATGGGGAATGAGAGAAGGGTTAATTTAATTCATAAAGAATAAACATAATAATTATATTTACTTAAATAATATTATATTGCATAAAAAGATGAAACTTGTTTTAATGCATTAAACTCAAGTATATATTTCTTTCCTTTTTATTCTATTTGAACCATCTTGTTCTTTGCATTTATGAGCTTTCATAGATTTGATGATACGAAGATAATCCTTTTCTATAGATTTATATGTTTCCTCTAATTTCTTCAAAATTTCATCTTTATTATATTGATTAAGGTTTTCCTGCAAAAGATTAGTATGATATAAATAAGGAAATTAAATACAAAGTTTTTTTTATAAATTCTTTGTTTAATTTGAAGGCGATATTCTTTATATGCTTTCTCGTCTCTTATGTTTAATCTTTCAAGAAGAGCTATTTCTATACATCTAAAAAACTGATTCTATTTTTTTATTATTTCTTAAAGCTAAATAAGAAAGAAAAATTACTAATGATATTTTACTTTTTTTCTGTGCTTCTAAAATCCAAAGATAAGGAATAGGAGGTTTAAATTCTTTTTCATTAAATATTCCAGATATTTTGAGTCTAATGATATCCTGTTTGTCTCTCATATCCTGAAATTCATCAGAAGGATCCTCAACTGTAATTTCTTGGATTTTGGAGTTTGATAAAATATATGTATATAATGCATCATAAAGTTTTCCTTAAATATTTAATAACAACATATTGTATTGTAAACAAATACCTCCATGACCATTTCTTTGAAATGGAGGAAGAATAACAAATTGTGCTATTCGTGCACGACTATTATCAAGAGATTCCCTGGAATACCAATAATAAAGATATACAGTTGAATAACCAATAAAACAATAATAATCTTGATCATTTCTTGATTGCTTTTCATATCTTAAAATATTATTTAAAAATTAAGAAAATGTCAGAAAGCGTACAACAAAAAAATCATCCATTTTGAATCCTCAATATCAATAAAAGATGCTCCCTCTATTAAAAAAAGAGAAAAGATCTGCATATTATTAACAATTTTTTCAATCTCTGGATCAACTATTGAGCCCTATAGAAGTATTTGTTATATTATAGCTAAAATAATGAAAAATATATACCATAAAAACTTCAAAAACAGAATTATTAAGCATGTACGAGGATATCTTATTCCCTGGAGGAACAAAGGACTTATTATCACGCAAATAAGAATAAAATGTTGTTTCGTCTGTCATAATAGCTAAAATAATTTTAGAATTTGAATTATAATACAAATATGAACTTTTGGGGAGATATTTCCTAAGTGTTTCCTCGATATTCTTACAGGATAAATGTTCCTTATTTTCTGCTTTATCTGTATATTGAATTTTTAGATATATTTGTAAATCATGACAACAGAATTTTAACTAAAAAGAACTAAAAATTGTCTATAAAAAATGTAAAGATATTACGTTTATATTAAGATCTTTGTATCCTGTAATTCTCTCTTCTTCAAAAATTGAATATGTGTATATAGGATGAAATATAATAGGCATCTTTGTTTCATTAATATTTGCTAAAAAATTAAGTTAGAAAATCAGGGAAAAAAGGAAAATATACCAATTTCTATGAATATTACGTCTTTTGCATTGAATGAGTAGTTTTTTTCTTTAAAAACCTCCATTTTTCGATTTTTTAGAGACTTTCAAAATTCTTACGTTACCGCTGCTAAAGCTGCAAGATTTCATAAAAAGAATGAGTTTTAAAGAAACTAAATGTTAAAAGTAACGCATAATATTAACAGGATTTTCTTGATTTAAGTAAGTTATAATTTATCATTATTGGTTTTTATTAAAAAAAATACATATTGTTAAATGATCTTTATTAAAAATCTAAATAAGATTAGTTGATAAGTTATATGCCCTTTTATAGAATCTTTAAAACCTATTTATAATTCTTTTTTTTAATATATTATCCAAATGTTTTTAAATTATATATGAATTAATATTTAATGATATGAAGTGATTAAAAAATGAAAAAAATAGATTTTGACTTAGAAAATAGCCTCTAATATAGTCCAATAATAAAAGGATAGCTCAAAATGCGTTGATTTATCTTAAAATTATATAAAATATTTGGGTATACTTCTACGTTGAATACGTTTTTTTTCGTATAACAAAGAATATCTAAGATTATATAATGATAAATCCATTGGTGGTGCAAGATTTGGATTGTCCTTTTTTAACAAATAAATATCTTCTCGTTTGGATTTATTGATTTTGCTATCATAAGATAGAGATGTTTTTTTTTTGTGAATTTTTTTTAATGAATGATTGTTAATAGGAATTTTGATATTTTTTTGGATTAAATCACCCTCATTTCCTGCTATCTTATCAGAGCTACTTTTTAATCGAGAGCTTTTTGTTTTTTTCATTAAAGTAGAATTATATAAATCAGTTGTCGGTTGTCAAAAGTTAAAAAAGTAAAATTTTGTTGAAGAAAAAATAAAAGTTCTTTTATGAAAATAATTAATCAGATATATGGTTTTTTTCTTTATTTCCTCTATTTTTTCAATAAAATATCTTATTTTGATTAAAAGAAAAGATAGAGATTTCCATTTATGCGATATATTATTCTAAAAATTTTCTTGATAAATAATGTTACGTAAAATTAAAAATACCTTTATATTTTATATTGTGTAAAAATATTTTATAGTTTTCCTATGAAAATGATTTTTTTGTAGAATTTAAAAATTAACATCAAAAAAATTAAAGATATAGATTTCAGTAAAATATAACCCTTTAATTTTTTTCTGGCGACTGAGAAAGCCTATTTAAATCTTGATCAGATCGGTGTTTCTGTTGAATATTTTTTTGTCGTTCTTCTGCTCGTCGATAACCCCAACCTCCTCTTCCTGGATCATATTCCGTTCGATATTCATCTCTTACCTGACCCCCACTTCTTCCACGACCATATTGTCTACCTTCTCTAAAACCTGGATCAATATCTGTCCGGATTACCCTATCATCAAGTTTTGTTCCATTAATAAACTTCATACAATCCAATGCGTGTTCATGCGAATAATATTCTACAAAACAGAACCCACAGGGTGTCTTATTAAACCTATCTAACCCCATAATAACTCTTTTAATTTCTCCGCATCTAAAAACTATATTAATTCTAAAAATACGTTTTATCTAGTAATTTTTACTTGGAAAAAAGCTCATATATTTGTTCCTCTGTCGTATAAAACCTAATTTCATTCTTTAATTCTTCTTTTTCTTCATTTTTCAAAGAAAAAACATACGATAAATTCCCAACATAAAGTGTACTAGAACGATTCAATGGCATATCCTTATTTGAGCGCTAAAAAACATATTATTCAATAATTATTCCTTCTTAAAGCACTTAAATTCACCTTTGAATATCGATCAACATATGTACTTGGTGTATCCAGTCGTTGAAGGATTGACATTTTGTTAAGATCTATGAAGCTGACGTGGAGGTAGTCCTGGCAACCATTACCTTGACAACCTCAACGTCCTCTTCATAGATCTCAAGATTATATTCTTTAAAAGACTTAAATTTGTATTTTTTTAAGGATTTTATAAGTATTTTTATAAGGAAATGGACGATATTTATGAGTATATTTTTGATGAAAATAAATGGGTTCATTTGTTAGAAAATCATCCTATTTTTTCACTTTCAGAGAAAGAACAAGGTTATAAGAAATAATTAAAAAACGAGGGAAAAGCTTATATTTTGTAAAGAAACGATAAAAAACGTAAAGAACAAGAAGTCTTTGATTGCAGTGAGGCAAACAGAAGTATTTGTTGGAGTCGATAAGACTATACGTTATGCAGATTTGAAAGAATGTAAAATTGATGAACATCAAAAAAATAGAAGAATGGATTATAAAGTATGAAAGAAGAAATGTTAGAAAAGTTTCTTATTTTGAAGGAATTTAAATTGAAAAAAATTACGTTTCATATCGAGCATTTAATTATTAATATATGTGGATCTATTTTAGTAGTAGTAGGGAGTCATGATTTGGCGATAATTTTTCTTCCTACATATTTAAATTCGCTTGAAGAGAATTCATTGAGGTATATTTTTTTTTTTGTGTGTGTTAATAATATTTTTTTAGAGTAAATGAAGTTGGTCGTAAATATTATAGTCAAACTGAGATTGTTTCTGTTTTATTTCACCCAGCAAGTAAAAATTTTTCTACTATTTTAGTATTGTCTTCGGATGCAATTATTCGGTATTATATAATATATTTATTGATGTATTATTTAGTTATTAGAGTGTTTGAATTGTCGCTAAGTTTTGAAGAATCAGAACAGTCAATTGATCTTATTACTGGAACTGGAAGAACGAGAAAAAAAGGATCATTTGTTGTTGAAGAAGATGTTTTTCAAGTTTCTGATTTTTGTTTTGATTCGAAAGCAAATGAATGGTCTTTTTTTACGCTTCATGTTCTCCTTCAAAATGGTGATATTTATTCAATATGTCCATTGGTTCCTACGAATTGGTAAACAGATTGATTGATTATATTTTTTATTATATTTAAAATTTTAGTATGGTTCAGCGTTCATATTTAAATCGTCTTGCATGTTATATTTCTACAAAGTCACAACAGTTAGAAAAGAATAAAGATGACTCTACTTCTGTTTCCCTTGAAAACGAAAGCATATGCATGCAGACACGGTGGATATCTGATATCTTAGGACAGGTTTCACTTATCAATGACTATGGATTAGGATCTCCGTTATCACAAAATCTTGATATACAAGATTTAGTTACGTTTCGTCGTCCAAATATTTCTAAATTTCCCGTTCTAATACAGGGACCATTTTTATTTCAGCCTGCTCCATTGGAATTTTCTTCGGAACATGTTACGGCTTCTAATATTATTACTTTAGGAACGAGTATTATTGGTATATTAGTTATCTCTTATACAGATGGTAAAATAGATGTTTGTGTAGAGGTTGAAAGAGTGGAACCAAGATGGGTTTTGAATAAAGTAAAATATTATTTTAATATTATGTATTTTAAAGTTTTATAGAATGAACAATTTCCTCCTTTAGTTAATTATCTTGCGACTTATGAAACTATTACGGTTTTGGATTCAAAAAATGCATGTGATTCTGCAGAAAATGATACTCTAAATACATTTCTTATACAAGATGTTACAAAGGCTAATACGTTTTATTTTTATTATAAAACTTCTATCTATTCAGTAGTCTTAGGATGGCTTGAAAAATTAGAAAAAGAGGATAATATTGAAGTAACATCTATTGCCTTCCTGTTGTCTGAAGGAATACAACATTCATCTATCTCTAAATTAATCGATATAAATTCTTTATCACAGTAAATTTTCATTAAATTATTTTATAATTACTAATAACTATTAGCTCATCCCCTACTATAATAGGCTATGATTTTTTAATTCATGCATATTTTGGGCATTCTCTTATTTTTTGGTCAACGGCATTTAATTGTACTTTAGTTGAACTTGATATTACAAGTCAAATACAACTAGAAAATGTAATGGAAGAATCTAATTCTAAAAACATAAGTGTTTCTGGGAAAAATGATCATTTAAAATATTTTTCTTTACTTACATTACCTGTTTATTCGGTTTCTCTGGAGTCACTTAATTTTTTAAAAGAGGCTCCCTCTTTTATAATTCCTAATGAATTTCAGAATAAGTTTGTTGTTTCTCAAGAATTTCTGCGATTTTTGGGGAAAGTGGCTCTTGAAACACGGAAAAATACAGAAAAACTTCACAGTTTAGTAGTTTCTATGCATCGCCGGTATGTATTTTGCTTGTATGGATATTTTTAAATTGATATTTTTAAAGACTGGAACTTCAAGGACGGGAATTTATCAGACAATTAGAAAAATTATATATTTTAAAAAATAAAGTAGACAGTATAGTTTCTAAAAATTCATCTGAAAGACTTAAAGATGCTATTAATAATCAAAAGAATCTTCAGAAAAGAGCTGATCAAATCTTGCAGAAATTAATTAAAAGTCATTCTCCAACATTAAGTGATAATGAAAAAAAATGGTTTGATGAATTGAAAAGAATAAAAATGAAAACATATGGAAGCAAGGGTTTTAATGAAAAAATATTATCTGTAAGTGTTTATTTATGAAGGACTTTGTATTAAATATTTAGCTTTCAAAACAATTCGAAGCAATAAAATTAGGAGTTTATAATAATTCTGCAATAGATCTTTCTTCTAAGAATAAACTTCATGAACCTGTTACCATGTCTCAAATAAATCAAATACGATTGATTTTAGATGAACAGTAAGTCTATTTTGTTACATATATGTATATAACTATTAATGTAGAGAGCAACATATATCTCAGACTAAATCTAAATTGAAGAAATTAAGTAATATACTTGGTGCTAAATCAGAAATAATGGAAATATTCTAAACTTGTGTATAAATAGGCTATTAATCACATAATAATTATATTAAGTTAAAGCCAAATAATTTTTATGAAAATCTAATAATAATACTAAGCATGACTCTAAAAATATCATACACAATAAATTAAAATTGTTTTTTTCTTTGTTAAAAAGCAAAACTCATAATTAAATCCATATATTTTAGATATATGTTTGAATATTATTCAATTATTCTTTTATATTGAAATATAGACTAAGATTATCAAAGAATATAACATTCAATAATAATCTTATTTTTTATAATTTGAATTACTGAGGTGCTTCCTAGAAAAAAATTAGTTGTCTTTTCTTTTTTTTTTCTGGAAATTACTGATTTGACAAATGCCAATGCTTCTTCTTTTTCAATTGATTGAATACTTGAGACTTTGTTTTTAAAAACAATACCATAAAATTTATCGCCAGTTTGTATCATTTCAGGTCTAAACGTTGTACATATAAATTGTCCGTTATCTGACATTTCATGAAGCATTGTTGCTACAGCAGTGCGATATTGAGCATCTAGTGCTGCGTCAACCTATTAAAAGGGTTAGTTTTTATTATTATAAAAAGTAAAAAAGTTAATTACTTCATCTAAAAGATAAAAAGGCGCTGGATCGCAACGTTGGATAGCAAAAATTAGTGCAAGAGCACATAGACTCTTTTGTCCGCCACTTAGTTGCTGTATTCGTTGCTCATCTTTTTTGTTGTTAAAAGATACACTAATGGCAACTCCTACATAATTTTCTACTGGACTTTTGTAGTGTGCTTCTTCTTTATTATACTCATCATGATTTCTATCTTCTGCATGATCAATTCTTCGTTGCATAATAAGTCGTCCCTTTCCCATAGGGACCAATTTTTCAAATACTTCTGAAAAACTTTTTGAAACCTGTTTAAAATTTCTTTCTATAGCTTCATCTTTTCTCTGATCAAGAACTAAAATAAGATTTTCAATTGATACTTGAGATTCATCAAGTTCTTTTCGTCGAGCTAAAAGAGCATCCCTCTGTTTAATGAAACTATTATATTGTTCAAAAGCTTTTTTATTAACATGACTAAATTTCTTAAGAGCTTCATTTACTTTGTGAAGCCGTTTAACAATCTTATAAATTAGACAAATATTCAATAATAAAAAAGGTATTTACCGCATTTGATTCAGTGGTAGAAAACTTTTCGAAAGCTTCTTCCGGAAGTACACCTAAATCTCTTATGTTTTTATTGCATTCTTCTTTATTCTGCAGTAATAGAGCTCTTTTTGCCATGTTACGTTCTAAAGTTTTTTGGTATTTTTCTATGGTTCTGGCTTCGTCATTCTGTTTATTCTAAATAAAATATTAAAATTTTAAGAATTTATTTTGCAATATCCATGCCTGAAGCAATGCTTTTTCTTCGTTTTTTTCGTGCAATTCTGTAGATAAATGGTCAATAGAAAACTCAATGTCATTGAGTTTTTTAGTAATAGTGTCTATAATATCTTGAATATGTGAAAGATTTTGCTTCGTTTCATCCATATTAACATCTATATCTTCATCATTTATAAAACCCTGCGTCTTTAATTGATCACGGCGCAAGTATAAATTTTCATGAAGTTCATTCTCTAATTTAATCTTTTGCTGTTCTAATTCTGTTCTTTTTACGTGATGATTGACATAAGTGTTTTTAATAGAATCTATAGTTTTGTTTAAATTTTCAAGGGTATCTTCTTCTGATTGTGTCAATGTTTTTTTAAATTCAATTTTCATTTCATCTTGCAATGATGACAGCTGAGAATTTAATGAGTTTATACTAAAATCAACATCATTTAAAAGCGATTTCTATAAAAATTAAACTATAAAATACTTTAGAATAATGAATTTTTACTTTTTTTAACAATGTTTGCTCCAGAATTCCTTCTTCTTTTAGAGTTGCTGAAAGTTCTATTCTAAGTGGATTATAATTTTCTTCAATTTGTCGTTTTTTTGCTTCCAAAGTTTGTATTTTTGACAATTGTTGCGTAACTTTCTGATCCA